AAAGAAACATTGATCTTACAATTAAAGAAAATGCACTTTCTACATTTTTTTTTTCTTCATAAATTTGTATTTTTTAGACTTTAAAGGATGTGATTCACAGAAAAGAACGTAATTATCAAGTTTCATAACGATCCGTTTATTTGTTTAGAAGTAATAAGCGTTTTTTTGAATTTTTTTTGGGGTTATTCCGTAACAATTTTTTTTTTCTTCCTAAATTTGTATTTTTGGCCCTTAAGTATAGTGTTATTCATAGCAAAGAACGTAATTATCAAATTTTATAAAGATCCGTTAATTTGTTTAGAAACTATAAGCATTTTTTGAATTTTTTTTGGGGGTTATTCCGTAACAATTTTTTTTTCTTCCTAAATTTGTATTTTTGCCCTTAAATAGTGTCATTTATAGCAAAGAACGTGATTACCAAATTTCATAACGATCCGTTAATTTGTTTAGAAACTATAAGCGTTTTTTGGATTTTTTTGGGGTCATTCCGCAACAATTTTACGCTTTTTTTCCCTAAATTTGTATTTTTCGCCCTTAAATAGTGTCATTCATAACAAAGAACGTAATTACAAAGTTTCATAACAATCCGTTAGATGGTTTAGAAACTATAAGCGTTTTTTGGGATTTTTTTTTTTTGGGTCATTCCGTAATAATGGTACACTTTTTCTTCCTGAATTTGTATTTTTCGCCTCTAAAGGGTGTGAATCGTAGCAAAGAATATAATTACCTAATTTCATAACGATCCCTTGATTTATTTAGAAATTGTAAGCATTTTTTGGTTTTTTTTTGGTCATTCCGTAATAATTATGTGTAGTTTCAAAAAATATATATTTTTTGATGTAGTATTTTTTAAATATATATATATAAGATTACAGAGAGCATAAAATTTCAATTTCGCGGTTGATGATTTAAAAAGTATATATGACCTTTTTGCACTGATACAAAATTGTATGCTGCGCGTACGTGAGAGGTACAAATTCGGAGGAGTTTCTTTTAGGAAGCAATTCGAGGCACGTAAATTATGATTTTCCCATGATTTACCTGCACAGTTATAGCGTGTGTCATGAGGGCGTATATCTGCGTTTGTCGTGTAGCTTTTAATCTAATTTATTGCTGCTCCGTCTCCAAGTTACACGCCAAGATTACCATCGTACAGATTCCATTCCAGATTATATATATATATATATATATATATATATATATATATATATATATATATATATACTGTATAACAACTATAGTGTTGTGCAAAAAATTTTTTTTAAAGATTTCAAACTATTACAAAGGCCAAGGGAGAAAAATAATGAAAAATAAATGAATTACCTTTCTTGAAAAAAAGAGAGGATGTAACTCGTTTGTCTGTCAGTAAATAAGATTTTTGAATTTTAAATTTAGAATTTTAAATTTATTATTTATACCTTTTTTTTATCATTGAACCCTCATATTGTATTCAATAAAAAAGTATTTAAAAAAATTTTTTTAACAATTTTAAAAATACACCTCAATTTTTACTATTAAAATTTAAAGAGAAAAAAATTATTTCAAGGTGAGAAATTGTAGCAACAACTTTATATAAAGAATTATTAAGTATTTCCTGTCTGTTAAAGAAAATACACACATAAAATAAGTTTTATGAGATATTAAAATTATTATACCTATAGTTCTTAAAAGTTCTTGTTATACTTTTCAAATATGAATATCGCAACAACAACAAAAAAAGTCTTATACTTTTCTTATATATATATTTACCTATGAAAAAATAAAAATTTTATTCTTTCTAAACTTCATTTTTATTCAAATTAGAAAAAAAGAAATATATATTTCAAATGACTAAAAACTATTTTTAAATCCGACTAAAAGTAAAAATTTATTTAATGGAAAATTGATATTTCTAAATGGACGAGATTTTGTCGAGTTAAAAATATTGGATGGAAAGATTTACAATATTATGGGGCTAAAAAGTAATAGAAAGAGAGAAAGAGAGAGAAAAAAAAAGGAATATGAAGGACCAACTCGAAACTTCGGATCGAGAAAACGAGTAAATGCACTATTGAGTTTTAATGTATATATATATATATATATATATATGTGTGTGAGTGTGTGTGAGAGTACACGTATAATGAAGATAGAAGGGGATAAGAGGAAAAAAAAAGAAGGAGAGAAAAGAAAAGAAAGAAGAAAAATTGAAAAAGGGATGGGACAAACGTGACAGGGAGAGCTAAAATCTAATTGCTGTCCAATTTCCCGCGACACAAGGGTCACTATACTATATATATATATATATATGTATATACGCGAGCACACACGTAGAAATTCACTTCTCCCGAGTTGTTTTCAACTGTTTACATTTACCAACCATTAATTTTTTATTACAACTGCACGAATTTCATTATATTTGCAAAAAAAAAACGTGATTAGAGAAGGTTTTTTTTTCCCATTAAAATGTCAAAAATGAAAATTATGTGCCTTAAATATTTCAATTCAAATAAATGAAATTATTTTTTTAAATTACCACCGCATTGAAAAATAGATAATAAATTTATTAAATTATTATAGAGAAAAATTTAATAATTTTGAAAAAGTATTATAAATTGTTTAAAAACTTTAGTTTTAACTATCAATTTGTTTTTCTATTTTTTTAAATTATATGATTGCAATAAATTAAAATTAAAAAAATGTGAAATGACTTTTTGTCGGAGAATATTGTTTTCTTTTTCCATCAGCCAATGATATTTGGTCAATTCACTGTAGGAAATTTGATTCACATATATATACACACACAGCTGAAGCAATATTTTCCTTGGCGTTCCATTCCCCTTTAATTAAAGTCCATGGGGACATTGCGTGACCAAAAGAAATGAATGCATACATACAAAAAGAGAGAGAGAGAGAGAGAGAGTGAGTCAAAAGTTGAGATTGACGTCGTCGCGCGACAAACATACATATGTTTTAGAGAGAACAAAGAATATGATTGTACCGTTGCGTTGAAACAATGAAAAAAAAAAGAAAAAAAGAAAGAAAGAAGAAACGAGGAAGAAAAAAAATGTGTTGCGCAATCGTTAAAGTATTGCCCGTCACAGTGTATAACATTAAATCAGCTGCTAAAGCCATTATTTCAATGACACTCGACTTTTTTTTTTTTTTTTCGTTAATGCGAAGGTGGTATACACCACAGGAATGATGGTTTTTTTTTTCTCCTCCTTTTAAGCGGAAGTAGGCTTGGTCTACTTTGATTTAAAACAAAGAATTCACCTGAGTTCATGGGCCTCGTCAAATTCATCGAATTATAATGCATTTTGTATATTCTCGTTTCAGTTTTTAGATTTTTAGATTCGAAAAACTATGGGAAGAAAAAAATTTGCAAATAATAAACAAAATTTTTTTTTCTATATTAATTCAATTTTCCTTGTAACAATTCTTTTAGTTTTTATATATTCTTTTTTTATTAAAGAAACATTTTCTTTAAATAACTAAAATATTTATAATGAAAATAAAGAATTTTTTTTTAACGCCATACTTGACCTCATGATTAAATAAATATGTACTATCCTTTAATCAACTGTGGGATTTTGTGTAAGCGAAATACGCGTTATTCAATATTCAAAGCATGAGGGATATTTTGCACGCCAAAAGCGTTACTGTACAAATAGTTTATCCTGCTTATCCGAGTATTATGTTAGCAAGTTCCAGTGTACCGGCATATATATGATTCGCATTTATATATATATATATACGCGAATGAAACGGAAAAGGAGGCTTTTGACGATGCTCATGGCAAAAGAGAATTTCGAGGCTTTATGTATATATATATATATATATATATATATAAGCATACATATTCGTATATATCTCATGTGCAGCAAAGTTCCCCTGAATCCGGTACAATTCACGGTTCACCTCCATGGCACTTGCAGAGATCATAAATTTATAAATAGAACACTGCAAAAGCTCTTACACTCCGTTTCATGCACGTATGAAATTTTTAAATTCTAATGAGCATAAATTTTCCAAATATATTATATATATAAAACATCCGAACACCATATTTTTAACCGACAAAAACAATTTAATTTTTTTGTTTGTTTGTTTTTAAATTCCTAATTTGAATATAATATTTTTTCCAAAATTGCACGGAAATATTCAGGCAATATTAATTATGTCCGCCCTCAGGTAATATTTTTGCAATATTGCCAGAATATTGTAGCTATATATATGGGTATATATAGAGAGAGAATATTGTAACAATTTTTTATTTACAAAAAATAAAAAAATCTTGCGTTATCTGAAAAGTTTATCAAGATTATCATAATTGAAATGAATTCTTTTCAACCCCATGTTCGCAATGCGTAAAATTGAATAAATGAATAATATTCAAAAGTTCCGGAAGCAACACAATAAACTAGTCGCTTTCAACAATACACTGATAATATTATAAGAAAATTATCCCTTTCAGATATTTCAAATAGATACACGCATTCACTCTCTTTTCTCCTACAGTGCCTAATTTAAAAAGCAAAGAATAAAAAAAAAAAAAAAAAAAAAGTGGTATAATCTTAACCATCTCTCTTTCTCTCGCTTTTTTTTTTGCTGTATGAAGTGTGCTGCCACAGCTTGTGCCTCATGGCAGTGTATTATATTTATTAATATTTAAAAATACACTCATAAGCCGATTGGAAGTCATCTGATTTCAAAGCCGATTACACTCAACGTCAAACGACTTATAAACAATTCACTAATGGAATATTTTCCCTCTTTGCTTATGAATAAATTAATATTTACGTTTTATTTTTTTCTTTATTTTATTTGATAATGTTATTTTGATATTAGATTAAAATAATTTGATTGAAAAAGTAATTAACAAAAGATTCAAATCATATTCTTAAATTAGAATTTTTCAGAACACAATATTCAGTGGTACTAAAAAATTTTTAATTTTTTTTTTTAAATATACGATGAGAAAATTATAAAAATAGAATTAAAGAAATTTTTTTCTGTTTCAGATGGTTTCAATTTCTTCATACAGAATATATACAAAATGGTAAGAAAAATTTTATTCCAGAAATAAAATTGATGTCTCTTATTAAAGTTTAACAGGAAGTTTGAAGAAATGCTAAAATTAGTTAAATTTATCGATTACCATTAAAAACATTCTCCAAAGTTTCGTAATATATACCATTTCTATTCTTCCTCAAAATGAGAATATTCTAAAAAAAATAAGTCACTTTGATTTATATTTTAAAATTAATTATACATTTTTCTAAATTAAATATTCATACACAAAAAAAAGAATTTTATTTAAAAAATTTAAAAATTTTTTAAAATCAATCTCCAATTATATAAATTATTGTGATTCGTTGATTTTAAAAATCGCGCTCAAATCTTTCTGTCGATTATTTCTTCGGTCATTTGCAATTTCGGACAAAAGAAAATAAAGTGCTTCAAGAGAAGCACATTTCCATCGAAAAATGTGCTTCCACAAAATTTATATATATATAACTAATTATTTGATAATAATTTATAAAAAAATTTTTTCCAAAAAAAGGAAAAATTAATTTTGAAATTAATATTTTATTTCTCAAGAGGTAAGAAAATTTTCTTACTCCTAAAACTAATCAACCTTAAAACATAACCTTAAAATATCTTAATTTCATTTTTCATCCTTTTTCAGATTTCTAATGAAAATTTTTATTATCCTTCTTGAAATCTTCTTATAACCTGTCCAACTAAAGGACAATGTTTGTTTAAAAAACTCAAACTATTATTTATCCCCTGAAGAGGAACTATAATGTTCGAAACTAGTTGGGATCTTTGAAAATATATATATATATATATATATATATATCTTTACAAACCGTATCTAGGCCTTTTCATTTCCGAAATTTTAAAAGAAAATAAAATTTTTTTTTACTGCATAAATAATAAAAAAAAAATCATATTTGCTTAATTCGATCGTGGAATGGAGATTTCTATTCATAGAAGATGCTGTGCAATGAAACCGGAAGAGAAATAAAATAAAGAAGAACGTTTATTCTATATATATATTTTTTTTTGTTTTAAAGGGGTAAAATGAGAAATAGACGTGCTTGAGACTTGTTTTTCGTTTTTGTACAAGATGCACGTTTCTGGGAAAAGGGTTTTTGTATTTCTACGTCATCCACGCTGATATATATATATATATATATATATATAGAGCATAAAACCTGATGCAAACAGCATAAAATTGTTGCAAAGAAGTTTATTGTGACAGGACACGATCTACGGAATAAGACGAAAAGTGAGCATTGTATACAAGGGGAAAAGAGATATCATTTCGAAATTCACTTGTCGACGCAAAAGCCTTGCTTTTGCTTCATGTTTAACCCTTCGGGGATCGTTTTTACGTCTCCTCTCTGTTATAAAGCGAAGTTTCCGCAAAGTCTGCCACTTCACTTAGAAATGTAAAAGGGAAAACACAATGGCGACTTGATGTTTTCAAAGTAAATGGAATTTTCGAGTAAAAGTGTTATATCATATACCCCCGTGCGTCTTGAGTATTATTATGCTAATGCTCTTCTTAAGAGAGTAATGAGCGACATTAAATTGCTATTTATGATCCCTTTCATTTTTTTTCCCTTTTTTTAAATGTCATCAACACTATATATATATATATATAAAACACCTTCTTTTACAAATTGTATATTAATTTTTTTTATAATCATAAAAAAAAGTATTTAAAAATAAAAACATTGAAAAATGAAACAAATGTAAAAAAAAAATTGAATTTTATAGAAGTATAAGTAGTTTCCATCCGTCGATAAAAGAATATTAAGTTCAACGTTGGTATTTTTACGATCACGCGACAGCTTTCGGAAGAAAAATTTAATCGGGAAAGATCTTTATACGTCAATTTCATGTGATCGGGGTTTATTGTTTCTTATATATCGTGACGTATATTTTATGAGAACTTTTGTGTGTGTGTGTGTGTGTTTCGTTGCCGAGTTATATAGAATGTTGTGTGTGTGTGTCGTTATATTGCGTAAGAAGCGCCCACTTCACTTCCTCTTCGCGTGACCTTAAGATCCACTATATACCAGCGCTTCTTCCTTTCTACGTGAACAGGATATACAAACAGAAATCAGTAAACGCGACGCTACACTGGCAAGCACGAGTTCATCCTGATTATACTCCCGTTTCCAAAATCCACTAATTTCAGAGACAAGCGATCCTTATCAAAAGGTTAACGACCCCTTCCAACTACTATCATCATACTGCCAATTATAATTAACAAAAACAAATTTTTTTTCATTCCTTTTGTTTCTGAAAAAATTTTATTAAAGAAAAATCTGAATTTCTTTATTTTGTTTAATAAATCACAGATTTCTGTTACCGACATGTGTCGGTAACAGGAATCTGTAATTAAAACGCTTTATCTATACTAATAAAATTATTATTTAATAAATAGATATTTCTTATCAAAATTCTATATTAATAAATGAAAAAAAGGTATATCATTTGAAGATTCGTATAAGAAAACGTTATGGGATGTTTTTAAAGGAAAGTAAAATTTTTATAGATACTTTCATGGCAATTTGGATTCTTGTGCAATATTCAAAAGAATTTTAGAATCTCATATAACGTTATGTATATCGTATATATATATATATATATATATATATATATATCCATCATATACGCTCAAGAAATATCTCGAACTTTTCTATTCTTCCTCCTCCTGTTTTTTTTTTTTTTTTGCAAATCCTTTTGGCTTTGCAAAAATTTTTCATAAAAACTAGGTTAAGAGACTTAAAACTTACCACAAATGAAAGATTTTGAATAATGTATATTTTACAATTTCTTGAAGCTTGTAAAAGCTTTTTGAAGTAGGAGAAGAACATTTGAGAGTTCTTCAAGTGTAATATAACAAAGGAAAAAGATTTCATTATTATTTTTTTTTTTTATCTCCCAGAGTTTTCTCATCTAAAGAAATTCTCAAGATTTACTTTCTTTTTTTTTTTGTTGTTATTTTTGTATTCTTTTTTTTTTTTTTTTGATTTTGTTTTAAAGTGATTTTGTTATTTTTTGTAATTAAATTCCTGCATGAAATTTCCAAAATAGACATAAAAAATTCAGGACCACACTCTATTATTCCCTGTTGTAATAAGAAGGTAGTAAACACGACATCAGTAATTTTTTCACGTGTCTCTTTCCTGTCCTTTCTTTTTTATCTCGTTTTTCATTCTTTCTTCGCTTGTCAGAGTCTTATTCTTATAACATATATATATGTAGTTTCTTTCTCTCTCTTTGTCCCTTAGAAAAAAATAAATATTTCGCCATTATGTGTCCCGGTGAAACTAAAATGGAGCAGCAAAAAAAAAAAAGTACAAGGAAGAGACAAGTTGCGAGGTCAAAGGTTAGAAGTGAACCAATTTCAACAATGCTGAGCATTTAAATTGAGTCCCTCATGACGTAATCTTATATAGTTCACGACTGTTCTTTTCGTCTTTCATTCTTGACGACTTCCCTTTTTAACCTTTTATAATCTTTTATTGAGAAACTATAATTCTCTGTTTATAAACATGACTGTATAATGTTATATATATATATATATATATATATATATGTTCGATGAAAAATGATATTCGAAGCAGATGTGCGAAATTCTGGCTCTTTGCCCATTATATGAATAAGATCATAAAATGTTCTACGACTTTTCGAGCGTTTTATATATATATATGTGTGTGTGTATGAGAAGATGAGCTAAAATGACTTTCGTTATTATACCGAAAATAATTTTAACAATACCAATATTTGATGTTTTAACTAAACCGAAATTTTGTTATTAAAAGTTCTTCAAAAAGACATAAACATTAAGTGTTACGTGTTTATTAAAATAAAGCAGTTAAAAAATAAAAAATGCAAAAAGAGAAAAAAAAGAAAATAAAAACGAGAAAAAACTAAATGAGAGAAAATTGTAAATTACCCAAGTAGAAATGTGCCACTGGCATAGTACTGACCCAACACTGCCAGTCAGTATAACGGTACTGACTGCCGTACTGGGCCAGTAGTGGACCAACCCTGGCTGGTAACGCTGTCCAGTACTGATTTTGTCCCGCTCACCAGTACTAACGTAGTACTAGAATAATACTGGCATAATACTGGCAAAGTACTCATCCGGACTTAAAATCTCACTTTTTTACAAAATGCTAAAACACGCTTTCCAATGCAAATTTCATCCTTATTAGCTTATTACTCCCATTTTTACCACGAACAGGTAATGTGAAGCCAATAATAGTTAATGTTATTTAGAATATATAAAATATTATTAACAATAAATAATTAAAATAATAATTATCATTTATATTAATTAAATTATTTTATTTTTAATAAATTATTTTACAAAAAATAATTTGTGTTGTAAATTTTTTTATTTTTTTAAATTCATAATATTTAATTTTTTTTACTTTGCACTTATACTTAATTTAATAATTATTTAATAATTGATATTACACATGAACAAATATTGTACTTATAACACTTAAAACTAAGAACGAAAAATCTCGCACGCATGGGGGATCGAACCCTAAACCCTTAGAACGCAAGTCAGATACGCATACCGCACAGCCGCGCTGGCTTGAAGTGCTGACTTGAAGTAGTTCACCTAATACAAAAGTTTTGATTTCAAAGTTTGTATTACCTATTGATCACGAAAATAAAATGAATTTATTCTTAAATTTTTTAAACTCACAAAATTTTTTCAATTTTTACAAAGATTTAATGAAATAAAACTGGATATCAATTTCAGTTAAATATTTTTAATAAATTATTTTTACCGTAAATAATATTAAAACAGACAAAAATGATTGATCAATTACATAATTAAAAATAAGTTAATAAAAGACGACTGTAAAATATGAATGGTGAAAAATTTTTTAAATTTAATATTTAATTATTAATAATATTTAAGAATTACAGTGAAAAAATTACATTTGCTTTATTTTTAAAACTATTAGAAAAAAATTCTCAACTTATTGTTATTGTATGCATGATAAATAACTTAATGCACATATTTCAATGAGTACTAAAATAACTAAAAAAACATAAATATATTTTATATAGGTATATAATAATACATTACAATTACATCCAAAATTTTGAGGGAAAGTATTCGAAAGAAATTAATATACATTTTTTAAAATAAAAAATCATCGTTTTCTACCTATTGAAATAATTTGAAGACTTTTTCATTTAATGTTTTTTATCACCGACATAGTACTGATTCGGTGTGAATGACAGTGTACTGCCAGTACTGGTTTTAATATTTTTTTACCTCCGACATAGTACTGATTCGGTGTATTAGTCAGTACACTGCCAGTACTGAAAGTCAATACCGACAGCCAGTATTGGATCAGTACCATGCCGGTGTTTAATTACGGCGAGCTACGGATATTTCTACTTGGGTAGTATTAACAAGTTTTCTCCAACTATAAAGGACATGTACTTCAGTTTAGAAACTAAGGAAATAAATTATACCCAAGGGTCCGTTATTGTATATATATATATATCTAAACTACTCTAATTTTCAAATTTCCATCTCGAGCCGACAAACAGTGATTTAAATTTTTAATTCTCTTTCTAAATAACTATTTTAAAATTCATTTATCAACTTTTCACAAAAAATTATTTATATTTAAAAAATAATATAAATTATCTAAACTGAAAAAATTATACTCAAAATAGAATGGGTTTTTATAGTTAAAAAATAAAGACTAAACAAACACGTGCGTAGTCAAAAGCTAGGAGATGCATTTTAACGATTTATGATTTTCATGAAATTCATTTTCCTCAGGCTTTCATAAATTACCAACTTCTTGAAATGACTCGCGATTGGCCTAGAAAGCTCGTTGAATTGAAAGGAAGTTCATGACTCCGTCCCTGGGTCTCGAGAGCATCTCGAGGTGACTACACAGCAGTTCCGAACAAAAGCCCCAAGAACAAGAGGAACAACAACAAGAGGAGTAATAGAAACTGCGGAGAAAAGTGGAAGAAGAAAACTGAGGGCAAAAAAAAAAAAAAAAGATGAAAAAAATGGTATTTATAAAAAAGACGAAAAATTTATAAAGAAGATGAAAAAAAAGTATGAAAAATAAGAATAAAAATGATTATATATAGGAAAAAATGAATAAAAACAACTAGCCAAGAAAACGTATAAAAATATTAGAGGAAAATATTTTGAAAATAAAGAGAAGAAAGAAAGAAAAACGATGAAGAAATATAGAAAACGATGAAGAAAGATAAAAAATGTGAAAAAAAGAAACAGAAAGGGAGACAACTAGCCAAAAAAAAAAACCTGTAAAAATATAAAAGTATTAGAAAACAAAGTGAAGAAAAAAAATACGACGATGAAGAAAAATAAAAAATGTGAAAAAAAGAAACAGGAAGAGAAGAAACGAGTCTTGTAGGTGGAAGGGAAGGTTTAAAAAGATGGGGTTACGGACAAGGTACAAACGAATGCAAAGAACGGATGGACGTATAGAAGAGAAGAGCAAGTTGAAGGCGGTAGTGGTGCAATGATCTTTGGGGTCATGCTCCGGTCACTGACATCTAAGGTTTAACTATACACTCTCCTTCTGAAGACCAACTTTGCCCTCTGCATCCCTTCTTATTTTCCTCTTCCTCTCTCTCTCTCTTTTTCTCTCCTCCGAACAACCTTCTATCTCTCTTTTTTACCCTCTCTCTTTTCATCTTCCTTACCTTCTCTCTCTCCTTTTCTCTCTTTCTCTCTCTCTCTCTTCATTCTTTCTCTTCCCCTCTTTCCCTGATTCTTTTTCTCTCACTCCTCCCTCCTCTGTATACATTTCTCTCTCTCTCTCTACTCTACTACCTTTTAGTATCGCCACGTGCAGATCGTGCACTACGTCCTACGATTTCCAGTTACTAGTTTGGTCCCTATCCTCTTCCTTAACGGCAAGAAATGACCTCTTCTGAATCAGGGTTATATATATATTCTTTCTCGAAACAACATCAACAATGATCGATTTACCAAGATCGTATATAGTGAAAGAAAATTTCCATCGAGTTCAATTTGTGTGCTGAAAACGAATAAGGATATGGAGTAACGAGTGAATGACCTGTTGAATGAATAATCGAAGGATATTAGATCGCGAGAGAACAATGCTTTGAATCTTTTCAGATTTATTGCCGCTTACTTAAAGAGAACATTCTCTTTCTCTAAATATATTGTATATATATTCCTATCTTAAAAAGATGGAAAATTTACATTTTCCTCAACTTAATCTCTTACAAAAAAAGGGTGTGTGTTTAAAGCAATAATTTCTAAACCTTGGTGGAAAAAAATGTATTCTTTATAAAATTTCAATTAGAAACTAAAGGAGAAAAAGGATTGAGACAATTGGATTGTTAATACAAAACAATTCTGGTTTATTGCAACAAATTTTTCTTTCGTCTATATAACAATTCGAAATTATGATAAAGAAAATCACTGAATATAACCTAATACATTTTTTACCTCTAACCTTTTCTATAGGCGCGTCACTATATAAATAATAAAATCCCAAATAAAAAAGGTGAATATTTAATTTGTATACGAAAATTAATTTTAAAAAAATAGAGAATTTTTTTTGTCTCTGAAATAAAGTGTGACAAAATTTATGAAGGGGCATTAAAATAAAAAAACAAAATAAAAAAAAATAAACGGATAGTAAATATCGCTACTTCTCTCAGGAACGTTGTGTAAAAAATGGATATCTACTTGGTGTCCAGTGCAGAGGCGAATTGGGCCGCAGAGACTTGAATAATAATTCTCGTGGGTTGGTGTTTATATATATATATATATACTATATCTAGTAAACCGTGTATCCGCGAGCTTTAAAATGAAAAATATGTAAATTATGTAATATAAAAATTGCCGCGCAATAACGGGTGAATTAATGCATCTCTTATAAATTATATAAATATATCGCCTCTTATTAAAAGAAATTTAATTCTTTTTGTTCAATTCATCAATTTTATAACAAAATAATAATATAAAATAATATCTATATCTATATTATAAAAAGATTTCCCCGCTTTCTTCATATAGGTCACTCCACGTTTGTTCACGGCGTGAAAATAGACATTTGGCTAAAGTCACACGTGAAAATAGTCTTTTCTTTATTACTCATTCATATATATATATGATTTAAAAATAAAGGGAAATTCCTCTTATTTTCAAAATTATATCAAAATTAAGATATTTTTTTTTGTGAAATCGCTACTTGATTTTTATCTTCACAAAAGAAATTACTATTTTTCAAAAGAAAAAGAAAGTGACAACAATAGTATATACACGAAATGGAAAGAAATCATCCATCTTTTCTAAGGCAGGGTGGGAAGAGAGAATCCTTTTCGGATTTTTTTTTTAAGGTGAGAAAAAAGGCGAACAATGTAGGATTCTTGTATATATATATATGTGTGTTACTCGTATGTGCCATAAAGCATCGTAATCGGCTTGGAGAATTACTGGCAGACGTGAATCGCAACGAGAGGAACGATTGCAGTCACCCCTCGAATCTCGTCGGAGGATATTCCGTTTCGTGGCGTCAAGACCATTGTTTGACTCGAGGAGATAATCCGGATGCGGAAGCTAGTCTCTGACTCTGCGCGAATTTCGTCAAAAGCATTATATATATATAGTTTTCAATCCAGTGGGTGCTTTAAAATACTCGTACACACTTATCGTTAGACCGGACGTTTTAGTGGTGACCTTCTAATTGGAGTTGAGAAACTCTTGTCATATATACACTCGTATTGTATATGTACACACACTCACTAGAAATGAAATCTAATCCTCGAGAACTGTTTCTTCTCTTTCTTACTTCCTTTCTCCTTTTTTTTTTTTTATATACACTCTTGCATATTTTTATATGGGCACATATTTTGCAAGCCGTGCGGTAAAAGGATAGGTTAAAACGTGACCCTGAAAAGTAAATGTGGATTATAAGGAGTCACTTATCCCTATTGAGAAAACACGTTACTCTGTTTCTATCGGTTTTTTTTTTAAAAAAAAACAATTTTAACAATTTAAAACTGAATTAGAATTTCTAAATTATAATAGTATTAATGTTAATAATTATTAATAGGTATTTATAAAAAAGACGAAAAAAAATTATTATAGGAAAGAATGAATAAAAACAATAACTAGCCAAGAAAATGTATAAAAATATTAGAGGAAAATATTTTGAAAATAAAGTGAAGAAAGAAAGAAAGAAAACGATGAAGAAATATAGAAAACAATGAAGAAAGATAAAAAAATTTGAAAAAAGAAACAAGAAGAGAGACAAGTAGTCAAAATAAATATGAAAATATCAGAGAAAAATATTTAGAAAAAAAGTGAAGAAAGAAAGAAAGAAAACGATGAAGAAAGATTAAAAAACCGATGAAGAAGTATAGATAACGATGAAGAAAGATAAAAGTTAATAATAAAAAAAAAAAAATATTAACAAAAATTACGAAATACGGTGCATTTATAATAAAAGGAAAAAAAATAGAAGAAAAATAATGATAAAAACAATTTTTATATTACAGGTGAAACGAGTGGAAAATGATTCATAAAATTAATTGTCGTAATTTCCATAAACGCGTGAGTAGCGTAAAATATGTAATATGGAATATTTTTACATTAGTAATAGTTTATTTGTGTGTTAATATAATGTAAATTATAATAATTGACATTCTCCATCATCATGATGATAATAATCATTTAAAAATGAATATTATATATATATATATTTTTTTTTTCTTCTTCATCACTCTAATTATAACTTTTGCCATATTAAACGTAAGTACGAAAGAGATTCAACAGACGTTCGAGTACTTTTAAAGAGTTCATCTCCTTTTCTGAAATGTTTCTGGTTTCTTTCATGCGCGATAAGATAACTCTAATACAGGCTACTTTAAAGAAATGGTATATATATATAAATAATTTCACGAATGTGTGTGTATATTAGCAAATTATTATATATTAAAAGTAGAAAAATTTCAAATATTAATTTTTTTTTTAAATTAATTATAATTGCTATTTTATGATAATTAAATAAAAAATGAGTCACTAATTCAAATTAGTTCAAATTTTTACTAATTCAAAATCCATCTTTCATTTTGACATAATTTTTCATAATTTTTACTAAATATTTGTTTTTTGTTTGTCCGCAGGTTTAAAAAAAAAAAGGAGCAGAAATCCAATTGTCAAGAAAAATATATACAGAAAATTGTCTTCACAATTCCAGATGGTGTGAAAATAATTCAAAATTTTGCAGACGGGCCTGACTCGTTGCTCTGCCCGTACAATTAAAGTGGGTGAGCAAAGTTTCAGGTGTGTTTGCGATATTTCAACTCATCGTAAGAATAATATTCCTTTCTTTCAAAGAAAAGATTATTTAATTATTTTGTAATTGATTTTTTTACTAAAATTTCTTAAAAAAATAATAATAATAATATTCAAATATTTAATTGCCTAAAAAATAAAAATGGATTTTATTGATGATCAATAAATGGTTGAGCTTCACGTTTCCGGTAAATTTCATTCCAGTCGATATTCCCGCATTTATACCAATCGTCCAACGGACGATTCCCTGGGCTCGCCTTTTTGTTTCACACAATCCTCCTAATGGGCGCTGATTCTTGTCGAAGAAAAGACAATTGGCCATTCTCCGGAACCGAAAGCTCGTGCGACTCTATTGACTTTTCCCTTTAAAGTCCCCCTTTTTCTCCTTAACTTTTAGAACCTTCTTTACTTTCGTCTAGCGATGAAAGAGGTAAAAAAAAAAGAAAGAAGAAGGCAAAGAAAGAACAGAGGAGGAGGGAATTAAAAAAAAAAAAAAAATGCTGAGAAAAAGTTTCAAATCGAGTAAGTATCTCAGTGGCTTTATCAGCAAATTCTTGAAAGTCAGTGAAATCGCGTGAGTAATCGGTTCTTGGGAGGTGGAGGAAAAATTTTCATTAGTCCAATTGATATTCAACATAAAAAGGCATTCACTCCATTTTCTCAATAATTCTTTTAATATTTTTTTTCAATTCTCATTTTTTCTTTTTTTTAATTACAATTTGTTCGGTTACATTTTTTTTTGAAAATTAAGAACTTGTTTTTAAAAAGCCCGCCACTCGACCAGTGTTGCCAACTTGTATCATTATACACGCGGAAGGAGTTTTAAGAATTTTTTTTTTTTTTGTCAACCAGGAAGAAAGAAGAAAAAGAAGATCATCATCATTTTTCTCAACTATCCTCTTACGCCTGAAATTTGCTTTTTACCTAGCCTCAGAGCTCTCGGTATATTGAGATGAAAAAGGTGAGCAAAGTTTCAGGTGTGTGAGTGCGTTGAGTTCAACAATATCAGCAGAAAAAAAAAATAAATGCAAAAAGGTCATATTATACAGTTGTACAAAATATCAAAACTTTTTGGATAAAAAATTTGTTTTTCACATTTTTTTAAAAAACAATTTTTATCATTTTTTAATAATCTGTTATAGTTATAATAATCATAATAATAATACTGTATATTAGAAATAAAAAAAAATTTCTTTTATTTTTATCCCATTACTGCGGTCAACGTCAAGAAAATATTATTATGATATATAGATATAGTAAACCTTTCACAAGAATCGAGTTTGCAAAATAATAATATGCGATGAGTTTGAAATTGAATTATGCAGGAATAATGTCATAATAATAAAAGTTAAAGTAAATATGGAGCATTGTCATGACTAGGAAATAGAACTCGTGGGAAGTTCATTTAACTTGTGACCCGATCAGCATAAATTGGAAAATTGTAACGACTTTCTGTCATCATTGTCAGTTTATTGACACACGTTGCAAGAAGGTGTATTTTTTTTCACTCTCTTTAATGCGATAGAAAATTTGTAGTTAATTATATATATATATATATATATATATATATATATATATATATATATTTATAAGAATTGCGTAGTAGTTTTGTTTTAACATGACAGATCATTACGTAAAGTACATTTTGTTACTTACACCATCTGGTTTACTATTTCCACTGAGACTTAATCCCCTCAAGACTTGAATAGACACAACACGTACAATACACTGAGAAAATTTCGTTTACTTAGTTACATACATACTTCTGAAATTACAGTTTGTTTTTATTTTAATTTGCAACAATAAAAATTTTTAATTTTTCTACTTTCTTCATTTTGAATTTATTTTCTATATGAAAAGGAGAATTTTATCTCTGTACAGAAAAATTTAATTTATTAAATATTAATTTATAATTGAAAAAAAAAAAATTTGTTCCTTTTTTTGCTGGTTCTTTTAATGCGATTTACAAATCTTTATTTTTATGTCATGTTATTTTTACATATACGAGAAAATTTTTCTTTCATATTTCTCACAATTCTGGAGTTAGAAAGTATAAAAAAAATTTTTCAGTCTTGCCGCATATTATTCAAACGCAAAATAAAAGTGTGTCACGGATTCATTTTCAAGAAGGCATAACAATGGCTTTTGTACTTTTTTTTTTGTCATTTTAATTCTCAATATACACTGTCAACGAATTTAATGGTTTTTATAAATTTGATTTTTTTTTCGCCCAATAAGTATTGTAGAAATGAGATATTTTTAAAAATTAAATAAATATAATAATTTTCAACCGTGTGGATGAAATTTAATTTTCCGAGATGTTAAAGGCAGTAGATGTATTTTGCGTTTGCGCAGAAGCAAACATTCTGCGCAGACGCAGAAAGACAGTAGATATATTCTGCGTTTGCGCAGAATGTTTGCTTCTGCGCAAAAGGAGAATATATCTACTGCCTTTAACCTTTCGGAAAATTAAATTTACCCACACGATGAAAACGGGCTTTCTGTTTTAATTCGTTTTTATTAATTTGTTTTCAATTTTATTTTATACTGAAGAATAACGCAGTAAACAAAATTTTTTTTTTTTTTTTTTGCAGACAAAAAAAGGTGAGTGCGCGCGTGCGCAATGAAGTGCAATGTCGTTCAAGAGTTGAAAAGGACGACACGCCAGAAGAAAAATGAAAATTGCTGTCGGAGCAAAGATGCATGAAGTAGATAAAAAGGGAAGTAGTCGCGTGAATTTTAAGCACCGTCCGCACGAGAAATAAATTGCGGACGTAGGCTCGATATACACGCGGTGTGTACTGTCATCAAAAGCTCGGCTTATGAATAAATATGGGACAAGTTTTGCGTATGAATATTTTGCTGGTTGCTGGTTAAATGGGTTGGCGATGGGTGAGGAGGGGGGGTGGGGTGGGGTCGAACTCTATGCGAAAATGGGGGAGGGGGCGACAAAATAACCAGAAACATTGAACAAGAAAGAGAGATAGAGAGAGAGAGACGAAATAAATTGTGAAAAAGGGAAATTGATAGAGTGAGAAAGGGAAAAGGACAAAAAAAAAAAAAAAAGAATGAAAGAGGAAAAAAAAACAGTGAGAGAATGAGAGAAAAAAAAGAGGGGGTTGAAAACGGTAGAGAAAAGCACCAGTAAAAGGAACGAAACGAAATGAGAACGCGATGTGGAAGCTGCATTTCCGGCGTCTCTGGCGTCGCGACGAATTTTTAATTTTAAAAGCTCCTTAGAATTTGCTTTCGCGTCGCGGGAGCAAATTACCCCTCTTTTTTCCATCACCCCTCGCCCCTTCTTCCCTCTCTTTATACTTTCTTCGTCCCTTCACTCTTTTTGCCACCCTTAACTTACTTGTTTGTGATCCTATTTCTTTTCTTTTTTTTTTCTTTTTGCTCATTTAAGGTCTCTCCATCTGAAGAATTGCGCGCGACAAAAAAAAATCTAACAATTCAAATACTCTACGTGAGATTTTCTCTTTAAAAAAAAGAATTTTTTTAATCATTAATACATCTTTTTTCAATAATTAATTACTATAATATCAAATTTTTAATTTTTTGATAATATTTTTTTTTTGTTTTTGAAAATTAATAAATAATGATTTTACGTTTACTCTATTGTTCCGTGTCTACTAAATCTCTGTCTCTCATCGCGATGAAACCTCTGGATATACGGAGATAAATGATAGGTCCAGCGGATGCAGCATCTTTTACACGACTTTCGTCTCTCTTTCTCATTTTTTTTTTCTTTTCTTTTTTTTAAGAGGGTGATTCGATTAGTAACAGAGGAAATTTGAAACCTCGCCGTAAAAGCTTTTCAATTACATTTGTGAGTGAACATCTTGCAATTCGATGAGAGGAAAGAAAAACTTGCAATCTTTAGATGCGCAACCTTAAAATGAACATTACATTTATTTGAATCAATTAAACAAATTTTTGAAATTTCAGTGATATAGAATCAATAAAACTGACGCTCGCAAAAAAAAGAGGACCTTAGAAGCAAAAAAAAAAATTATGTTTCGAAATTTTTAAGTGAAAATACACAAAGAGGATTAAATTTTAATAGAAAATGTTAGAAAATATTTTCCCGTTTTTTCTAGAATAGACAATAGATCTATTTTCCAATTTATTATTCTTTCATTTACACCGAAGAGTGTGTGATATAGCATTTTGAATTACTTTTTTTTAGCTTATAAAATATATATATATTCTAAATTTAAAATTATAATCTTATCTTGCTATTTAAAAATATAATTTTATAAACGAAAAAAAACAAATACTATTTATACGTTTAAAGAAGAAAATAAAAGCAAATCAAGTCTCGAGACATGGGAGCATATAAATCTGGCAACAAAAGAATCGCAAAAGCGGTAGTTCGCCAAGTAACTCCGACAAATCAGGTTCATTTGCTCTTGAAACGGTTGCCGTTTACAAAAAAATAAAAAGAACTCCAATAAATCGTAGACATAAATAAAAAGTGTTGCCTAATCCTCGAATTATCTTGAAAAACAACTCAAAGAGTATTTTTGCTATTTTTGACAAAAATGCCGCCAATAGTGTCAAGTTATTAATTCATATAACATTGGCAAAAATTATGTCTGTCTGTCAGTCTGTCTGTTACAGTACAATAATTTTAAAAAAATTATCATCTAATGTAAATTATAATCTATTAACTACCATATAAGTGAATGTAATTTTATTCCTAACCTAACCTCAAACCTATAATAATTACCTATAACCTAACCTATATACTATGACCTAACCTAATAATAATTGTAACTAACCTATATATATATATTAATAAAAATGATCGTAAATGTACGTTAATAAAAATGTTAAACAAGCTACAATTCTTATATGTTTTATAATCTTTCTTAATTATCGCAAAAGAATAATAAAAAATAAATATAATGAAAAGAATGACTGTTTCCGCGATGAGCAAGCAAATTCATTTGATGACTTAATACGAGGAAGCGCAGTATTCATGAAAATGATTGTAATTAAGATACACGCCCTGAAATGGGCCATTCTTTATATTGAACTTGCTTCACACTATATATATAAATTTTTTTTTTAAATCCCCGATGATTATTATAATAAATGTGAATTCGTTTGTAATTTATCTCAGTCTGAATTATATTAGAATGAATTTACTTTATAAAAATGAATGTGTCATTTTTATTGTCATGCAAAATTGGCGCCTATATTGCCACTCGGAAATCGTTGCACATTTCGCAACATAATAGAATATATAAATTTAGAATCAGGACATATATATAATGGACCTTGAAGTGTGGAAAAAAATCACGTAACATAAATTCATTTTTTTTTTTTTTTTTATTTATTTAGATATTTAAATAAAGAAATTTCCAAAGTAAATTTAATAAATGTTCATATATAGTTAAAAATATCGGTAATTTTTTTGTTAACACTTTAAATTATATTTTTTAAGGGCCAGGTGATTTAGTTTCTGATAAATTTATCTTTGATCTAATGATTAAATTTATCAAAGAAATGAATCACTTGCACCCCTATAAATATTTCAACAAAAAAAGGTGTTAATTGAAATCACAAAAAATGAATTAAAATTGCATTTGGAATAGAAGAATAACGTGTCTGACTGAAACTGATTTTTACTACTGATAACATATTTTAAATTTTAATTTAAATGAATTTTCAAGAATTACTATATATTAAAATTCTTTCACTTTCTTTTGATTTTCATTAGACTTTTTTTTTTTCTTTACTTGAATAGTTCAGATTTTAAACAATTAAATCAATGTCATGGAATGTTATTTGCTCAATGTTTTAGAATGAAATAATTCAAAGAATTTCATTTTGTGTGGAATTAAATTGATTTTGTATTCATTATTATAGAATTAATTAGGAATTGTAATCAGTCAGTATAAGAAATATTGCAGTTGATTAGTTAAAAATATTGCAATATTAAGATTATAATCCGTATAAATACAATTTTATAATGTCTTTTGAGGTTTTCGAAAATTACTTTTTATACCTAATCTGGCAAATGTAAAAAAACACATGCCTATTTTAATAAAAATAATTAATCTTCCCTTTTTGAGAAAAAAATCACTGACCTTCTTACTCTGACTATATATGGGATATCAACTGTCACCTTTCTAGCAGAAAGAAAACTTATGACTCGCCATCTATCGTTAAAATCGGAAACTTCCATAATATCGGTCGATAAGTACTCTAAAATGTATAATTCATTAAAAATTTTTTTTTTATTTTTCAAATTTAGTAATACTTCTCATAAATAACGATAATAATTATTATATTATATAGAAAAAAAAATATATATATATAAATAAATTTCTACTTACCGACCGATCGATTGAGTTTTAGTTCACTTCTTTACTGCTACTGACTATTGGTGTATCAGAAATACTGTACTTCTTCAACGATAGAGATATAACGTTTAAGAATTAATTCAGAATTTTCATAAAATTAAAGTAATTAAAAATGTTCGGGCAAATTACTCGTCAAAGTGTGAGACGATTCACCACCACCGCAGCTCGAAGATCAAGTCCAGATGATGGAATTCCTGGAAAAGTGAGTAAAAAAAAAAATGTTCCTTTTACGTAACATCATATAGATTTAAATGGCGATTATCTTTTGTTTTTCTTTTCTATAATTTTCGAACAAAATTTAAAATATTATCAAAAATATTTATCCTTAAATCGGATTTTTTTTTAACTTATTATTTTCTGTTTGATAATAATTGAATCAAATATTTTGGGGGAAATTAAATAATTTTTCAAAAGTGAGGTTATGTTTAAGGACATACTTACACGTTACTACGAATTATTGATTTTATTTTTAGAAAAATGTTTTTTGAAATGTTTATTTTTTTTTTAATTTTAGAATCTTCCATTCAGCATTGAGAACAAAACTGCTTTGACAATAAAATTCATGATATTCTTCAGTAGTGGTTTTGCCATTCCATTCTTTGCAGTCAGACATCAAATGCTTAAGGCTTAAGTGATATAGTAAGTAGAATAAAAAAATTTTACGAATAAAATGGTTTAATTTTGAAAAATGACCAAATTTTTGAAATAAAACATCTTTTCATTTTTTTTTCAGATTATTATTACATCGTACTGCAAAAAAAAAAGAAATAGTTTACATCTACTATGATCTCGTTAGATCATTTTTCTGTATATTATATTACTTTGTAAGAATAAACTCATTAATAAATTAAATGTTAAAAACAGTTATAGAAAATTAATATGATTTGTAATTTTTTTTTTTTTTAAATACTCCAAAATTAATTTAATTTTTTCAATATTATAAATAGTACATGGCCTTAATTATTGACAATATGCTTTTTTAACAAAAAGTTTATTAATAAATAATTTAAAATTTAAGAATTTTTCAAATCGAGCAAAGAAATGAATATATCTACAAAATTTTAATTAAAAAAACAAAAAATTCATTGACTTGAAGTTGTTTTTTCGATTTGTTGTCAAATAATTGAAATTAACCTCTGGCGAAAAAAAGGAGTATAAATAAAGTGTGAAAAGATAATTGTTAATTAAAAATTAAAATGTTTCGTCATATTACTCATCAAGTTGTTAGAAAAATGGTTACAAAACCCACTGATTTTCCTCGTGGTTGTCGAAACGTTGGTTCTGTAAGTCTATTTGTTTTTTGCAAATTGGTAACAAAAATTTTCGTTAATTTTTTTTTTTATTCACTATAATCAATATTTTAAATTAAAATAAAAAATTTAATTAATTAATGTACCAAAAATCTCATGTAAAATTAACAAAAAAAAAAATTCTTTTTAATTTTCAGAATTTACCGTTTAACATCTTTAAAAAAAATCAACTCACGTTTAAATTCATTCTCTTTTTCTGCAGTGCATTTTATATTCCCTTTTTTATGATTCATTTTCAAGTGAAAAAATTGAATCACATTGCTGAAAATACATCAGAGAAAATTAAAAATAAAGAAATTTATAAATTTATTCCTGACGATGATGGAAAAAAAACAACAGAGCTTTATATTTGACATTTTTTTAGTTTAAAAATTAGAATACTATATTAAATTATTAATTTGAAATTAATTAATTAATTTGAAAAAAATTTATCTTTTTTTTTGTTATTAATCGAAAGTAAATAAAAATTAATTTTTTAATAAAACATTTTTCTTTTTATTATGACAATTACCTCGAACGAATATCGAGTCGATATATACAATAATTAATGTACTATAAAATTAATCTTAAAATTAACTATTGTATATTACGGTACGTATATTCATTGGACTTATATATATATTTAAAAAAAAAAACAAAATCCAAAACTAAAGTTAGTGTACAAATTGCCGGGTCGTGTAATCTGATTCTGCTTTAATTGTCTTCTAAAACTTTAATGCTTTCGTAATCTCTCTCTCTCTTCTCTCTTATTATTTGTGATAATCATCTATCAAAATCTGGTTCAGGAACGGGAGGTTTAAAACGGGACAACTTCTTTGGCGAACCTGAAAATTAATTTAAACTTTGCTTTAAATGGCATTCACATCAATTTTCCGTCTTACATTTCAAAAATGGGATTAAATAAAAATTAATTAAAAAAAAAATTGTAAATTAAAAGAAATTCACTTTTTTTTTTAATTAAATCTTATGAAAAACTAATTTATATTTCCTAAAATTTAATAAAATTCAAGTGACAATTAAATATTTAATTCTCTTAATATTTTTGATTAATTATATAGTAATGAAAAAATAAAAAAAAAAAAAAACTTACGATTTTCATAATCACATTGATGAGAATTATAAGAATCAACACGTGAGACAAGTACGTAGCCATTTTTATCTGCTTTTCTATCAAAATGATCTTTAACATTTTTCTTTTTAATCTGAAATAATATTAATAATTAAAGAATAATTTTTTTTTAAATATTATAAATTTTAATACAATAATCAAAAAAAATTTCATAAAAATCTTACCTCGAGACGATTTATATTTATTTCACGATTACTATTTGGAGTACGTTTCTTTTTCAATTTCAACAATGGTTTTTTATCTGAATTCTCCTATTAAAGAGAATAAAAAAAATATTCATAAAATAAAAACAGTTAAAAATTGTATCTAAAAATTATTTTTAGTTAAATTTATATTATTTATTAAAATGTTTAACTCTTATTATTATTATTATTATTATTATTATTATTATTAGGTATTATTATTATTATTATTATTTAAAATTAAATATTTAATTTATTATAATTGTTTTAATTAAAATACCTTGATTTCAATTTCAGGGTAACGTGAATATTCTTTTATTTTTCGTTTATTTGAACGTCTTGTAAACGAGCACAAAACAATTGAGCAAATAATGACAATTATAAAAATAATTACTAGAATAATAATGATTGTTGATAAATTTAAAATCTGCAATAAATAAAAAATATTTTTTTTTTTTTGAAAAAACTTATAATAATTTATAAAATTCAACAATTATTATTTTTTTTTTTGATAGAAAAAAAACAGCAAAATACAAAAAAAAAAGTATTTATGTTAATAATAATTTGAAATTTGATAAAATCAATAAATTTTTTGAAAAATAAATTTTATCTTTGGTGTACCATTTCATGACATCCTTCTACGAAGGGATTAGTGCAAGCTTGACAGGTCCTAGCTCCGGTATTTGGTTGATGAGTTCCCAGAGGACATTTTTTGCAATGCGATGATCCATCCTCGCTATAAAAACCAGCGAGGCACGGAACTAAAAATGAAGAAAACGAGATTTTCTTATACGCTACACTTCCTTTGCACATACATATTGCTTTTTTCAGTAAAATCGCAAAAATTTTCAATTAAATTTTGTTTTTTATCATTTCATTAAAAATATTATTTTTTGTTTTGCGAATTTTATTTTTTTTTTAAAAAAATACAAATTAGGGAAAAAAATGGAAAATAATTTTATTTTTTAATGTTAAATTATTATTTTTTTTTTTTTGCTTACGACAGTGAGTATTTTTAAAATTGAAACCAGCAGGACAACCAATGAGAAGACCAACGTTAGCAATATTTTTGAAATTATTATTTTTTTTACTACGACATCTTTTACATCGACGTTTATTAATTGATAAATCAATTGGCACCAATGTTTCACGATGATGTGGAAGCCTAAAAACAACTGTATATAGTTTAAATATTTTTATAGAGTCAAAATTGAAGGATCATTGAAAAAAAATATTTTTTTTTTTGAAAATAAATAAAATTCAACTAACTCGATCGTCGAAGAATTGCCCGAATATTTTTGCTTAATAAAAATGTAATTTTATCCTGAAATGCTTTGCGACAACGAATCCCACAAAGATTGAGACCAACTGGCACCAACTTTGCAATGTTCGAAGGAACGACGAGAATGTTTATGGCGATCTTGGAGAAAAAAGGGAAAAAAAATTTACGATCATAAAATATTCGTAAAAAATAAAAAAAAATTTTTTTTTTTTTTTTAAACTCACTCGCTTACGATGACACTGGGGTGGAAAAATATAAGTTTCACAAATATCATTTTTACAGAGAATTTCATTGAGTTTTTTTGGTAAATACTTTGTAATATCTTCAATTTCATCATCGTCACAAATATTCAATTTGTATTGATTTCCACCGCGTAGAGCATATCTTGGCAATGTTACGACTAAAAAAAAATTTATTCAATATTTTTAAATTAAAATAAATAAATTTATTATTCCCAAAATAATAATTGATTTAATTTTTAAAATTAACAAATACCCTGAAGATTGTGTTTATAAATATTTCTAATTATTTCTTCATTTTCAGGATCAATGTAAGTAACATAACAGAAATAATTTCCCGAATCTTTTGTATCGATATCGAACAATTCAAGATTTCCATTTTTTCTCACAACACCTTAAAAAATTATATATGTATAAAAATCCAAATTCTGAAACGAAAAATAGTAACTAAAACCAAATTTTTTTTTTACAAATATACCTGTAATTGGAAAATTATCTTCTCTAGTCCAAGTATAATTTGGTTTACTTATACTCATCATCCATAAAAAATCCTCTCCCTCATGATTACATGGCATATTTAAATTATAACCCGGAAGTGAAAATATTTCATAATCTAAAAAAACAAGAAAAGTAAATAATTATATAAATTATTTTTAAAAAATAATTCTTTACATAAGAAGAATAACAGTTTTTTTTTATTAATTATAATTAAATAAAAATAAATGTAAATAAAATTAATTTTTTTTTAATTATAATTGAAAAACAAGTACAAATTAGAAAAAAAAATACCATTGTTTGACATAATTCCTTGTTTCAATGTATCCTCAACATTTTCTGAATCAATATATTTTAATCCATGTGATTCATCTAAATTTCGTCTAATGTGTCCCTGAATAACATCAATTTGACTATTATCAGTCAAAAAAATTTCATTACCAATATCAATAAATAAATGACATTTATAATTTTCAATTTTATCAAGTATATCACTTCGATTTCTCATTATATTTGATAAATACAATATTACTTGATTTATATTGCATATACAATTATCGCAATTTTCATTAATTTCTTTAATATTATTTTTATTCTCTCTAATGTCACGATTTTTTTTATTTAATTCCATTTTTTCATCATGAAAAATATATTTTATTCGAATTTTACCATTGTCAAATGGTAAAATTGTTTGTGATTGATTATTTTGATAATTTAATTTTTCTCCTTTTATCTCAAATGGAGATTTTTTAATTCGCCTTGTAAATTTTAATTTTTTATCAGTTTTTGAATTTTTTTCTTCTTTCTTTTTAGAATTTTTTAATTTCTTAATTGAATTCTCATTTTTTCGATAATTAAATAAATGTCGTCCTGTTGAAAATTTTGGAATATTTTTAAAATTGTAATCTAATTTTTTATTATTTTCAATTTTCTTAATTTTTGCCTTTCTTTTTGATTTTGAATTTTTTTTCTTTATTGATTGCAAATTTTTAGGAGATTTCAATTTATCAGCAAATTCTAGAAAAAGAAAAATATTTTATTTAAAGAAAAAATAAAAGAGAAAAAATATTTTTTGTATTAATTTTGTTTTATTTTTTTAAAAAAATTAACTTTTTTTTAATTGTTTTCATTTACCCGGAAAATTGAATTTATTACCTTGAATCATTCTTTTCTTTTTTAAAAAATTTTTCCCACTTTTCTTTCTTCTTTTATCAATAAAATTAAATTTCTCATTTGCTTCGAGTTTCATTTTTAATTCATTTAAAATTTCTTTTTTTATTTGGGAAAATATTTTATTATTTTCATCTTTTTTCATTTTTTCATGCCAAAATTTTCTTTTTGAAATTGGTTTTTCAGGAAGATTCATTTTTCTTTCATTTTTATATTCAAATGATTTATGAAAATTTTCCCTTTCTGATGGATATTTTTTTATTTTAATTTCATTTAATGGAAAATTTTCTCGCTTTTCAAAATAATTGGCTTTAGCTTTTTTAACGATTTCAGATAAATCAAATTGAAATTGAGATTTAAATTCTTCAAATTGTTTTTCATGTGAAATTGGTTGAATGACTTTTACGATAATAGTTAAATCTTTCGAAGCCAAGTGAGAATTATTTATTGACTTCATTGCCTTGTTGGCAACAAGAGAAACAATTTTTTCCAGTGTTTCGTCACTTAGTGAAATTTTTGAATAATTTGAATTTAAATATAAATTAGAATTAATAGTATTTTTATCTCGATTTGATTCAAATTTTGTGTCTTTTTTTAATTTTTCCCTGTCCCTATAGACAATGATTTTTTCAACATTTTCTAAATTTCGTTTCTTCAATGAATTTTTCATATTTGAAACAAAATTATTTAATGGAAAAAAATTATATTCAAAATTATTTTCTTCTTTTCTTTCTTCTTCGTTTAATTTTCGTTTTGATCTTGAATTCTTTTTGTGTAGATAATTCTTTTGACTTTTTTTGAATTTTTCTTCATTTTTTAAAATATCTTTTTTTAGATCGTCTACCTCTTTTAAAAGATGATCAACTTTATTAATTAATGTTTTTTCTTCATTTTGAAATTGTTTTTCCATTTTTTTATGAATTTTCTTTTTTTTCTTATGATTATTTTTTATTTTAAAATTTTTCTTCACTGATTTTAATGGTATTTTAAATTTCTTTGATTTGTGTGATTTATTATTTTTCATATTTGAAGTTGTTGAAGATGCTTTATGAATGAATGAATTATTTTGATTTTTATCTTCTTTTAAAGATGGTATTATTTCTTCATCACAATTATCATAATTTTTGTTTTGTTTAACAATAATTGAAGTTGTTGATAGTGGTAAAGTACTCGTGTAACTTGTCATTGGTGTTGTTAAATTTATTCTCTTATCTTCATCGGAAAATTTTAAATTATTTTTTAATTTCTTTAAAATTTCTTTATTTCCTTTTAAAATTATCATGGGAAGTTCGCAGGTTACATTAGAAGAAGTTTTTTCTATTTTCAATTTTTTTTTATTTTTTTGCTTCTTTTGTTTCTGCTTATCTTTGTTTATTTCTTCTTTACATTTATCTTCATTATTATATTCTTTTTCTTCATTTTTATTGTCTTCTTTGTGTTCCTCATTGTTTTCCGTATTTTCATTTTTTTCTTCAATATTGGTGATTTCAATTTCTTCTTTCTTACAATTATTTTTATCTTCATTTTCTTTAGTCAGCATATTTTTATTATATTTTGTAATATCTTGCTCATCTTCTTTTGTAAATTCTATCACATCTTCTTTATCCTTTTTTGTATATGTTTCATTATTTTTATTTATTTCTTCATCATTATCTTCTTTTGTAAATTTTCCTATTTTCTCATATTCTTCTTCATTTACTGGTTCTTCTGTACATTTTTCCATATCTTCTTTCTCATTTTGTTTAATATCTTCATTCCTATATTTTCCCACATTTATATTTTCTTCTTTTTCTTCTTTCATGTTTTCTTTTAATTTTTTTTCTTTTTTATCTTCTTTAATGTTTTCCATCTTCGTATTAGCTTCAATATTATCATTATTATTCTCTTCTGTACATTCTTCTTCATAATTTTCATAGCATTCATTACAATTTTCTTCTTCATTTTCTTCAATGTTTGAATTATTTTTAGAATTCATCAATTCATTAGAAAAAATTGAAGAAATATTTTTGTTAATCTCAATTTCACTCTTTCTTGTTGTGTCAATGGGAAATATTTTATTGAAATTATTTTTCTCAATAGAATATTCAGGAGTAAAAAGAAAATTATCAGTGGTTATAGCTTCATTTTTCCATGTTATTTTACCATCAAATTTTTCTTCAAAATCTGTTGACTCTGTTGTTATTGTTGTTGTATCCGATTGCTTTAAACAATTCCAAAATTTCTTTAAAGAAAATCTTTTTATTCTTTCTCTATTAAAATTAGAGTCTTTATTATTATTTTTCTTCTTTAAAATTAATCTTCTTTTATGCATTCCTAAATTTGATTTATTTTTAAATAAATTTAAATTCACATTCATTGATGAATTTTCGTTTAAGGTCATTAATTTTCTCGCTAATCTTTTTGCATTTCGTTTAGATGAATTTTGAATAATTGGAAAGAAGATTATTTTTTTATTTGGATCAATTTCTTCAGATTTAAGATTATTTAGAATGTTTAAGCAAATTTTTTCTGTTGAAGTTTTAAGACATTTTTTATCATTATTTTCACTAATTTGTTTTTTATTTTCTATATTATCGTTTTCTTCTTTTTTATTATTTTTATCTTCTTTGTAAGTAAAATTATCTTCATTATTATTTTCTACTGAATTAGAAGAAATAGTTGTTAAAATTTGTAGATTTATTTCTTCTTTTGCAGTTTTCTTCATCATTTCGTTCTCTATTTCTTTTATTCTTTTATGTAGCTCCGATTGTTTCTTTTCTAATTCTTTTTGTTTTCTTCTTATCTCATCTAGTTTTTTTATTCCCTCAATTTCTATTTCTTCTTCGTCCTCCAATTTTAATTTCTTTTTATTATCCCTTATTATATTTTCCATAGCATTTAACTCTTTATTTTTATCATTTAATTCTTCTTCATTTTTCTTCAATTGAGTTTCAAATTCTTCTTTTTGGATATTTTGAGAAAAATCAGTAGACTCTTCTTCAAATGTTGAGGTTCTGAAAAGAGAAAAATATTTTTAAAAAAAATTAATGTCATTAGAAATTTAGCAAATTAAAAAAAAAATGGTAATAGGCATTCTATTACCTAAATTCAGGAGTGAATTCAGTTAAAATTGAAGTTTCCTGATCTATCGTTGAAGGTGTTTGGTATTTTTTTTCTGTTGATTCTTCAATGATAACTATAATCTCAGGAGTTTTAGTAACAGATGATGATGATGATGATTCTATTTTCGGAGCAGACGTCGATTTAGTTACTCTTTCTTCACCAATTTTAGAAGAAGTTGACATTTGTTTTGAATCAGAAGTTACTTTTGTTGCAATAACACTTGATGTTACTTTCATTTCTGAAGAAATTTTAGGTTTTACAAGAGGTGAATATTTTGAAGTTGATTTTGATTCAGGTGTGGTGTTTGATTTTTCGAAAATAGTTTTTGAAGTAGTAATGTCAAAAGAAAAAATTGATTCTGGAAAGCATTCAGATTCAGAAGATGATGATTCTTCTATTGTTGTTGATTTTTCAGTGGTAATCTTTTTTGTCAATTTCTTTGATTTTGGAGGACATTTTTTAGAAGAAGAAGAAGAAGAAGTTGTTGTTTTGTCTTCTTTTGTTGTACATTCTGTTATTTCTTCTTCTGTATTTTTTGGTGTTTTAGCTTTTTCTTCAGCTATCTTTTTTGAATTTGGAGAACATTTAGGTTTAATTGAAGATGTAATTTCTTGTGTTGTTTCTTCTTGGGAACTATTTTTAGAAGTGGTTTCTTCTTTTGTTTCCGTTTCTGTTGTTGATATTTCTTCTTTAATATCATCTTCAGTAGTTTCTTTATCACTTTCAGTTCTTTCTTCATCTTCGTTGGCGCTCCCTTCACTTGGTTCTTCACTAGTTTCTTTTTCTGTTGGCTGATTTTCTTCTTCATCTTCATTAGTACTTTCTTCACTGGTTTCTTTTTCTATTGGCTCATTTTCTTTTTCATCTTCATTTGGTTCTTCACTAGTTTCTTTCTCTGTTGGTTGATTTTCTTCTTCATCTTCATTTGGTTCTTCACTAGTTTCTTTCTCTGTTGGTTGATTTTCTTCTTCATTTTCATTTGGTTCTTCACTAGTTTCTTTCTCTGTTGGTTCATTTTCTTCTTCATCTTCATTTGGTTCTTTACTAGTTTCTTTCTCATTTGGCTCATTTTCTTCATCTGCATTAGTACTTTCTTCACTTGATTCTTCATTAGTTTCTTTCTCATTTGACTCATTTTCTTCTTCATCTTCATTAGTACTTCCTTTACTTGGTTCTTCACTAGTTTTTTTCACTGTTGGCTCATTTTCCTCTTCATCTTCATTTAAAGTGCTTTCTTCAGTTGTCTTCGTTGATACTCCTCCTGTGACTTCCTCTACTGTTGTTTTTTCTTTCATAACTTCATTTGCAGTTGTTTTTTCTTCTTTTTTTGTTGTTTCAGTTTCTTTCGTTCCTGCTTCGGTTGTTGCCACTGAAGAAGTTTCTTCATAATCACTGAAATCATCACCTGAACCAGAACCTCCTCCTTCAAAATTATCTTCAAGCTCTTCTTCTTCATCATCATCATTATTCTCCGTAGTTTTATCAATAGATTCGTCGAAAACTTCTTCGACATCTTCTGTTTCATTGTCAGTTGAACCTTCAGTTATTTCTTCAACTGTGGATCCATGAGTTGTCGCTGAAATAAGTATTCATCTGAATTAGTTTCTAATTAGTTTTTTTTCTTCTTTTTTTTTTATATTAATATAGTATGCAAATACCTTTAATTTCTTTTACAGTTGTAGTGACATCTTCCAAAGAAGTTGATTCTAATTTTCTTGGAATTTCAGACGTACTCTCTTCTTGAGATGTTTTATCGGATGTTAATGAAGATAATGAAGCTGTATTAGAAATCGTTGTTTCAGATTGACTGATTTCTTCAACATTGGAAGATTTTGTTGACTCTTCAAATGAAGTTGAAGTGATTTCTGTAGTTTGACTCATTGATGTTGATGATGTGGAAATTTCCAATTGTTTGGTATTTTCAGCTTCAGAATTTGATGTCGATATTTCGGAACTCAGTGAAATTTCAGAAGATGTATTTTCAATGATTTCATTGCCTGAAAAAGTACTAGATTTTAGTAATTCTTCAGATTTGAAAGTTGATGATTCTTGTGGTTTTTCAAATTTTGTTGCTTCTTCCAGAGGTGCTACAGTTAATATTTCTTCAGTATTTGAAATACTTAAGGTACTTGACATTTCTTCGATATTAGAAGTTTGTTTCGAACTTGAGTGTTCTTGAGTACTTGCTATTTCTTCAGTACCTAATATTTCATTAGTAGTTGATTTTTTTATAGTTGTTGTTATTTCTTCAGTAATTGAAATTTCATTAGTATTCAATAACTCTTCAGTGCTGAGTATTTCTTTAGGACTTGACAATTCTCCAAGAATTTGAGTTTCTGTAGTAGATATTTCTTCGCTACCTATGGTTCCTTTAGAATTCACATTTTCCTCAGTACTGGAACTAGGTTTAGAATTGACTATTTTTTCACTACTCAAAATTTCTTTAGTAGTTAGTGTTTCTTCAGTATTTGAAATCTCCAAGGTACTTGATATTTCTTCAATAATTGGAGTTTCTTTACTATTTGACATATTTTCAGTACTCGAAGTACCTACAGTATTTATTTCAGTACTCGCGATTTCTTCATATATTCCTTTAGTATTTGATATTTTTTTAGAACTTAAAATTTCTTTAGTATTTGATATTTCTTCGGTAGTTGAAATTTCCTTAGTATTAATAATTTCGTCAGTACTTGATAATAAATTTGATGACAAATTTTCTTCTATGATTAACGATGTTTTTTGCTCAGTACTTGATGTAATTTCTTCAGTTGTTGCTGATTGTAAAATTTCTGATTCTATTGATTTATAACTAGTAACTGATGTTTTTTCTGTTGAAATTGTAGTCTCCATTTCAGAAGTAAAATTAGATTGCTCTGTTGTTTCTTTCGAATTTTGATCCAAATAAGTAGATTGTATTGTGTTTTCTTCAGAAACAATAGGAGAGGTTTCAAAAAAAGAAGTAGTATTTGATGTTATCAGAGTTGTGATAATTGTTCTTTCTTCAGTAGTTGTATCACTAGCAGGTAGAGTAAATTCAGTAGGTACGGGACTTATTATCATTATTACGGTAGTATTATCTTTACCTTCAAACGTCGTTTCTGAAATAGTAACTGTTTTTAATGATTCTAAATTAGTAGCTTCAGTTGTAGAAGATTCTGATGTAGTTGTTATTTCCGAGGAAGTAACTTCAGTGGTTGTCTCAGCAGATTCATTAGTTTTTTCAGTACCTTCAGTTATGGATTTAGCTTCACTTGTGGATTTAACTGTTGTACTTTTAGCTTCGGTAGAAGACATAGATTCAATTGCGTTGGTAATTTCAGTCTTAACATCATTTGTGGTTTTGGTTTCAATCGAATCCATAGCTTCAGTTGTAGTTTTAGCTTCAGTTGATGTTTTAGCAGCACTTGTAGTTTTAGTTTCAATTGTTATTCCAGAATCAATTGTATTAGATTCGGTTATATCAGATGCAGTTGTTATTTCAGAGGAACTAACTTTAACAGTTGTCTCAGTAGATGCATTAGTTTCTTCAATATCTTTAGATATGGATTGTGTTGTCGATTTAACAGTTGTACTTTTAGCTTCAGAGGAAGTAACTTCAGTAGTTGCCTTAGTAGATTCATTAGTTTCTTCAGTACCCTCAGATATGGATTTAGTCTCACTTGTGGATTTAACTGTTGTACTTTTAGCTTCGGTAGAAGATACGGGTTTAATTGTAGGTACAGTCGTAGTTTCAGCTTCAATTATGACATTAGCTTCACTAGATGCCTTACCATCATTTGTGGTTTTAGTACCAGTTGAAGTTATAGATTCAGTTGTAATTTTAACTTCAGTAGAAGACTTAGCTTTAATTGTGATTGCAATTTCAGTTGAAGTTCTCACTTCAGTTGTACTATTAGCTTCATTAGATGATATAGATTCAATTGTTGAAGTTTTTGGAGTTGAAGCTTCAATTGTTGTTTTAACATTATTTGTAGTTTTAGTTTCAGTTGTTATTTTAGGTGTAATTATAATTGATTCCGTATTAGCTTTAATCGAAGTCATTGTTTTAGTTGTAAGGTCAGCATTTTTTGAAGTCTTACCTTCAATTGTTGTTTTAGCTTCAGTTTTTCTTTCAGCTGTTGTAAGAGCTTTTACAATTTCTTCACTAGTTAATGTTATTTTCTCGGTGGTTGACGATGAATTATTATCATCTTCACCATCCAAATAATCGTGAAAAACTTCATTATCAGAAACATTCTCCTCTTCTTCATCATAATCTGGATACATTTCAGTTGTTAGTAAACTTTCATCGATATATTTTTCATAATCATACTCTTCAGTTGAAGAATCTTCTCTTTTATTTCTCTTTACTTTCCCTGTGAATATATTAGGGATTTTAATAAAAAAAAAATCTGTTTAAAAATTTAATGAAAATATTAATAAAAATAAAAACCTTTAAAAATGTATTTTTTTGGAACTAAAGAATTCATTTCTGATGTAGAGATGTTTTTAAATCTGTAAAAAAAAAAACGTTTTTTTTTTAAGAAAGAAAAATAAATTGTATTATAATTTCTATTTTAATTAGTTTTGAAAACATACTTCAATTTTTGATGACAATGTTTAGGATGATTATCTGTTTTTCTAAAATTAGAAAGAGATTTAAGTGTTCTTCCCAATCTTCTATATTTTGGTTGTTTGACTTTTTTTACTGATGAAAGTATTTTATTTCTTTTCTTGTTTTTATATGTTTTAACATGTTTTTCCTTCTTTGAACGTTTTTTACCAACATTTTTGATAAATTTTGTTTTATTTTTTATTTTACCATTTTTCTTCTTTTTAGAATGATGCGAAATTTTTAATTTTGAATCATCTGAATTTCTCCTTAGGGAATTTTGATGTTTTCTTCTTTTTTTCAAGTAAGAACGTTTCACTCGTTGATTATTTTCTTGTTCTTCTTCTTCTTTATTTATTTTAAATATTTTTTTCGTTTCTCTCTCTTTAAAATAATCATCCGATATTTTTTGACCAAAAAGAGATTCCAAATTTTTTAAATATCGAAAAGTCATATTAGATGGTTCAATTTTTAATAGACCACGTTTTTTTCTTGATAATTCTTGTCTATTTTTTTTGAATTCTTTATTTTTTTGACTTAAATTTTCATTTAATTTCATTATCGTCGAAACCAATTTTCCCAATTGATTAGTCAATGGTTCAATAATAGAGGACAATGATTTTTCTTTATTGTAAATAATTTTTTCAACATTACTGTCCCTTGGTGATTTTTTTTTATAATTAACAGAATTTTTTTGTTTAATATTATTTTTTCTCTCTTTTAAATGATTTTCCTTTATTTTTCTTGAATTAATATTTTTTAAATGTAACGAATTATTTTTTTGTTTGAAATTTTTATTTTTCAACTGATTTAAATTTGTTTTTAATTGTACGAAATTTTTCTTGTGATTTGAATTATTTTTTAATTGATTTAAATTTTTCACTTGTTTTTTTGAATTTATTTTTTTATTAGTGATTTGAGTAGTATTTTGAATTTGATCCAATGGAATTTGTATTAATGGAATATTTTTTACTAAAGAATTAGGTCCATTGAAATTTGATGGATAATTATTTAACCAAGGCAAGGATAAAAATTGTCCTCCTTGTGGTATTAAAAATTGTTGAAAATTCAATGGATTATTGTTATTAATTTTATTATTATTATTATTTGATTTTGTGAAATTTTTTGTATTTTTCTTAAAATTATTTTTACTTAATTTTCCATGCATTTGTTGTAAATTTGCATTGTTAATTTTACGTTTTCTTCGAAAATTTGCATTTCTCTTTCTTTTAGTTTCAATATTTTTTATGTTTGTTAATTTTTCTTTTCTTTTAAATTTCTTCTTTTCAAGATAGGAGAGATTTTTGTATAATTCACGATGTGTATTATCATTAAGAAATATTTTTTCCGACAAAATATTTCGTGTTTTAAAAAAAATAATATCATCCTCCATTAGTTTATAACATTTCGAATTGTTTTGTAAAATAGAATTATTTTTAAAATTACGGAAATTATTTTTCACAGAATATTCATTGTTTGATAAAATTTTCTGATTTTTTGCTTTTTCCAATAAATTGAATGATATTTGAGAATATTGATTCTGATTTAAGAACAAATCATTGCTGAGTCCTCTTGCCAAATACATTATAATATAAAACACGCTGAAAAAAAAAATAATAATTTACAATTAAAAAAAATATAATAATTAAATAAAGAGAAGTGAAGAAGAAATTTGTAAATTGTAATAATTAAAATATTGTAAAGGATTATTTTTTTTATAACCAAAAAAAAGAGGTTTTTTTTTTATCAAATACCTGTAAATTACGTGATATCGCATTTGCTTGAAAAACAATTTTCAGTCATCATATTAAAGGACGTTGATATTCTTACATAAAACTTCTTTTTCTGTTTATTATTTAATATATTTGTAAATATAAAAATATATATTTTTGCGAAATTTTTGTTTTTGCTTTCAAATTAAAAAAAGCAGGTTATAGTAATTTTCAGGTAAAAAAAAATGCATTAAAATCAAAAAGTATATTTCAAAAACTCCTTTTCATTGACATTTTTCACGACACCATTTAAATATTGTTGAAAAATATAAAAAATAGAATTTCTTTTCTTTGCCAATATTTTGACAGATACACTAACACGGTCATTTGTCTTTTGTTTTTTTATTTTTTTTGAATTTACATTTTTTATTTTTTCTAAATTGTTTAAAAATTGTAAATTTAATATAATAATAATAATTATTAAAAAATTATTTAATTATTGTAATTTTTGAAAAATCATTTTAATAATTGTTTTAAAATATGAAAATTATTGCTATTTACAATATTTATATATATATTAAATTTAAAAATGTTAAAATTGATAAATAAAAATTTTATCCTTTTTTTTAAAAAATTTTATTTTTATTTAAAAAATAATATTACAAAATTCTACACTTTTACAAAAAAGGAATAATATTTCGACAAATATTATTTACTCAACTGTTACAAATAGACTGGATTTCATTATTTTCTAATTGTTTTATATATCTGAAAAGAAATTAAAATAAAATTATTATAAATAAAAAAATTATTTAATTCTAATTTAAAAAAAAAAAATGTATCAAAAAATAGTTTATTAAAAAAAAACTCACTACATTTTTCGTCATTTTAGTATTTTACATTGAATCTAAAACTCTTTGGTTTTTTCATTTTATTGGTTTTAAATATAAATGAAAACATGGCAATTGGTTTTTTATATTTTCTATTATTCGATGAAAAATTATTCCACTCTTCATTATTATTATTATTGTTACTATTTTTATTATTATTGTTATTATTTTCATCAACATTATTATTATTATTGTTATTATTTTCATCAACATTATTATTATTATTGTTATTATTATTATTACACAATTGATTGGAAAAATAGAAAATTGGTGTAGTGAAACAAGGATTATTTTCTTCTGTTGTCACTAAAGTTGAAGATTCAATTTGACGAAAAGAATTTTCATCTTCATTTATATTAAAATTTTTCATATTATTATCACAATTAAAAAATTTTTCTTTATTTTTAAATCTAGATAATTGATTAATTTCATTTTCAATTTTCATAGTCGATTCACAAGGAGGGAAATTATTAGTTACGATAATAGAATCACTAGTAGCTTCATTGATATTTTCATCTGTTTGAGGGAATATTTCTTCAGTAAATAATTTACATTTAATTTCTTTATTAATTTCATTAGCAGTTGGAATATTAGATTCACTATCAGATTCAGTTGTGAATTCAATATTAGCTTCACTAGTAGCTTCACTAGTAACTTCACTAATAGCTTCAGTATTAGCTTCAGTATTAGCTTCAGTATTAGCTTCAGTATTAGCTTCAGTATTAGCTTCAGTATTAGCTTCAGTAATAGATTCAGTAATAGCTTCAGTAATAGCTTCAGTGGTATAATTAATATCTTCAGTAGGGAATTCAATAGAATTTTTTTCAGTAGCTTCAACGAAGGATTCATTAATTGTAGTTTCCAATAAAATTTTACCATTATCTTCAGTAATAGCTTCATTTGTAACTTTATTAATATCTCTGGTAATTTCAAAAATAGTTTCACTGGTTGTTTGAAAATTATTTTCATGAGTAATTTCAATGTTTTTATTAATATTATTTTTTGTAACAATATTATTATTGTTAATTGAAATAAATGATTTATCGGTGATTGTTGTTAAATTTGTACATTGATAAGAATTTAATGTTGTTTCTTTGGATTTTAAAAATTGTTGAATTCCATTTAAAAATCCCGATTTTTCATTATTAGTTTCCACTTTTTCGCCACCTTTATTTAAAATTTTCAATTGATTCTCAAAATCGATTGGTTTTTCATTATGACAATTACATGTCTCTGAATTAAAATTTCTATCTTGACATTCAACTTCACAGGCACGTTGAGAGGAAATACTTTTTTTTCTTCTCAAATTCTTTGTACTTCTTTTTCTCTGATTTTTGAATCTAAAATAATTTTTATTTACTAATTAAAAGAAGTTTAAATTAAAATGAATTTTTGAAAATTGTAAAAGGATAAAATTTTACCTTTGTCTTTTTTTCCCCTTTTGATGATAATAATTTTTGTTCTTATTGAAATTTTCAGATATTTTTGAATAGTGATTATTTTTTAAATAATCGATAACTGCATTAAATGGCTGAGTTAATCTTTTAAATTTCCCTTTCGTTGATTCATTAATTCGTTTATTTTTGTTTTTGGAAAAAAAAATTCCCTTCTGGAAAAAATGGCAATTTTTTTTAAAATTAATTTTTTACAATTTAGAGAAAAAAAAATTTTAAATTAAATTCATCGAGTTGGCATTTTTTTTTGCATACTTTAACATTTTTCTTATTTCCTTTTCTCTTTTTAGAATGTTTTTTCAAATTTTCCTTTTTCCTTTCTTTTATTTTTGTCTTTTTTTCTTGTTGTTTGCGATTTTTTTTCTTTATAAATCTTTTCTTCAAAAATTTCACATTGGAAATTGGATATTTTTTCATTACACCTTGAATTAAATTTTCTTCTAATTCTAAATTATTTATCCAACAAAAAATTATTTTTTTTCAATGTTAAAGAAAATAAATTTATTTATTAAAAAAATTAATTATTCAGTTGAAAAAAAATAACAATTTATTTTATTTAAAATTATATTTAATTTGTAATTTTTGAATAATTAAAAAACCATTTTCTCTAATTTTATAAAAATTACTTGTATCATTTTGAGTGTCTGACATTTGTGAAATATTTCGATTTTTTGCCAATGGAAAAATATTTTCCAATTCTCTCCGATGAATTTGATGATGAAAATTTTCTGATCCATTGCTTGTAATTATGATTATAAATAATAATAATAATATTCCTTGCATATCTCGTCATTTCGTAAACATCGAGAAAATACACGTCAAATTAAAAATGTATTCAAAGAAATTGATAAAAAATTGATAATATATAAATGTGGTTAACTTGCACTATTAAAAATGTGACAGTTTGAAAATTCGAAAATTTGAAAACAAATGACAATTTCAATTTACAATTACATTAAACTATTGTTGTTATTTAAAAAGGAAAAAATTAATTTTTAATTTTTAAAAATTTTTTAATTATTTTATTTGTTTTTTTAATTTAAAAAAAAATGAAATAATTGAAAGTGAAAAAAATGTAATTAAAAGCTTTTTCTTTTTAGATAATTAGTAGTTTATAATAATGTAAGAAACTAATCGAAAACTAACAGAGGTGAATCTAAAATAGTGAAGTTCAGTCACGTTCGGATTGAATTGATAAATAAACCAAGCGAGAATTCATTAGTTATTCAAAGCACGCATGGAATCGTGTTTATGGCATTACAACCTGTTAAACGAGAGCACAGGTTCATTAGGCATCAGTTTTCTCAAACAAATGCTTGGCAAACTTGCTCAATTCACTAATGCAAATTAGTTTCAATTTTGGTTTCACGATAATTACTTCCACCTTCTAAAATTATCGAATTCTTGTAGCAATTTTGAAAATTAAGAAAACGTAACACAATTTTTTAACAAGAAAAAAAAAATATAAATTATATATTAAAAAAATTAAATATTTTTTTTTTCAAATTCATCTGTACCAAAATAATTTTTTTAATTTTAAAAAATAAATATATTTAATTTTATAGAGATAGAGAAATTATTCCGTGGGAGTTGTTTTTTTTTTTAGAGAGAGAGAGAAAGAGATCTCTGTGTTTGTTATTCTGATCGAATGATGCAATAAAAGTAGAAGTCCTTATTTTCAATTTAGCGTGATCCACGCTGAGCTATTTCCAATGTACCTGTGTCTCCGGTGAACATATATATATATAATTAAAATACAGTCATGCGTTCAGGTGTTCACTCTAAAAATAAAAATAATTTTTTCTTTTTATAGAAAAAAATTTTTTTTTCCAATTTTTATTAATCAAATTCATAATATTCATCTGAATATTAGTATAATTGGGAAAAAAAAAAAATTATTTTCCAATTATAATTGCATTGATTTTTCTTTTATCTTTTTATAAAATACAAAAACGATAAGGAAAATAATAAAGAAAAAAAATAAATTGAAGACAAACTTGAGGATTTGTAGAGATAATAAAATAATTAACATGACTGTTCTTCAGTTTCCCACTTCGAATTAAAGGACGCATCGCGCAAAATCCTGAAAACGAATTCTCCAAGATAAAAGGAATTGTCTCGGTCTCAATTTCTTTCTGTGACTTTCGAGAGTATTCAATTTCGAATCTTCATTATTTATAAAAACAAAAAAAACGGGAGTTTAAAATTTTTTTTTCCCCCAAAAAATAATCAGTGAAGAAATATAAAAACATGTATGGAATTCTATTATGTTAAATAATTGTTAATAATAATAATAATAAATAAAATAACATTAAATACAATAATAAAAAATTAATATCAATAATCAACGATGTTATAAAAACAAATTTTTTATTTCAAAATTTAAAAAATCCAATTTTTAATACATATTCAAAAATGATTATTTTGCTAATTTTGTTATTGTCACATCGGGCAATAATTACAAATCAAGTGCGAATTCCTATTGAAAAATCATCTTGTATGCAAGGTAAAATTCATCAATTTAAAAAATTTGTAGTTAAAATAATTTAAAAACATTGATAAAATAATAAAATTTCTAAAAATAATTAAATTGTGAAAATTATTTTATTTTTATTTTATTATTAGTTGTTTTTTTTTTTTTTTTTTTTTAACTAAAATTTATTTACGTAAAGTAAATTCAAAAATTTTAGATGAGAATTATAATGAAGAATTATCATCAACATTGATGAATGAAATGAATGACGAATTACTTTATTTACGAAGAATAGAAGCAAATGTAAAATGGAATATGACAATAAAATCATCATTTGAAATGGAAAAAATAAATTCAATAATTATTGATTTAAATAACAAGTGGAAAATAAAATGGTGTAGAAAATTTCAAAATTTAACAGAAATATATCACAATAGAATGATTCATCTTCTTTGCAAAGGACCAATATATACACCAAATATATCCAAGTATATACTTAAATAAATTATTCCTAATTAGAATTTCAAAAAAAATTTAATTACAAAAAAAAAACAGTTTTCTCTTTACATAGAGAAAAAAAAATTGATATTAAAATTTTTCTTAGGAAATTGTCAGAAGTTGAAAAAAAATTATCATTGACTTATAGTACAACAAAAATTTGCAAAAATGAAAATCAATGTTTTTATGCGGAGCCTGATTTGGAGAAATTTATGTCTTCTATCAGGTAATTAAAATTCTTTTTAATTAATAATTTTCTTTTTTTATAGAAAAATTATTATTAGTAGTTAGCAAAATAAATAAATTTTGTTTAGAAACGAAACAGAGTTACGTTGGATGTGGGAAGAATGGCAAAATAAAATGAGTCACTTAAAAAATATCTTCACAGAATCAGTGATTCTTCAAAATTTAGGAGCAAGAAACAATAGTAAAATTAATTATTTAATTATTAAATAATTGATAATAATAAAAATAATAATAATAATAATAATTTTGAATAATTAATTTAATTTTGTTACAGATTATGAGGATTTTGGTGAATATTTGAGAGAGGAATTTGAAATTCCTGATTTGAAGAAATTAATTTTCAAATTATACAATGAAATTCGTCCATTATACAAACTTCTTCATGCTTTTGTTCGTTACAAACTTGTTCAAATTTATCCAGAAATTCTTCATCCAAAGCAATCAATTTTTTCCCACTTACTTGGTATGAAAAAAAAAAAAAAAAATTATTTTCTAATGAAATTCATTTGAAAATTTATTTTTTTTTTTCAGGCAATTCATGGTCTCAAAATTGGAGTCCATTAATAAAACTTGTTTTGGAAAATGATCAAATTTTAAATATAACTCATGAAATGTTGAGGAAAAATTATAATATTCATGAAATGGTGAAAAAAGCTGAGGATTTTTATTTGTCATTAGGTTTTTCAAAATTATCGGAAAAATTTTGGAAAAATTCAATATTTGAAAGGAAAAATGAAACCATAAATTGTCACGCTACAGCTGTAAATATGTATATTGATAATGATTTTCGGTATTGATATAATTATTATTATTTAAAAATTTTTAATTTCCGAAAAAAGAGGGAAAATTAATTTAATAAATTTTAGAATTCTTGCGTGTTTAAAAATTAATATCGAGGACTTTGAAATGATTATTCACGAAATTGGTCACATACAATATTACATGGCTTACAAAGATCAACCAACAATTTTTAGGGTAATTCTCAAAAAAAATTTAAAAAAACAATTTTTTTTTTCAAATTAATAATAATTGATTTTTCAGAATTCACCAAATTCTGCATTTCATGAAGCAATTGGCGATACAATTTTACTTGGTCTTATGGCACCTCAAAATTTACAAAGACTTGGACTTGTCAAAGATTTCCTACTTGTTGATAGTAATACTTAAGCAAATTCATTTTCTTTTTTTTTTTTTTTTTTCCACCTGAATTGCAATTTTATTTTGCAGATATTCCAATTTTGTTAAAGCAAGCACTTTTTAAACTTCCTGTAATGATTCATAGTTTAATAATGGATTTTTGGAGATGGCAAGTTTATTCCGGTAAAATAAAACCATCGAATTACAATCGTTCATGGTGGAAATTGTACAAAAAATTTATGGGAATCAAACCACCGTCTCGTCGATCGGAAATTTATTTCGATCCAGCTGCTTTGTTTCATATAACAGAAAATGTTCCCACAATCAGGTTTTTCTTCAAATTAATATACGAAATTAAATTAATTTTGAAAAAAAAAAATTATTTCTAAATAAATGAAATTAATTTTAAAATAACTATTTAAATTTTAGGTATTTTCTATCGACTATTTTGCAATTTCAATTTTTTGAAACTATTTGCCGAGCTTCAGTCACGGGTAAAATTGAGAATTCAAATTTACAAATTCCACTTCATCAATGCGATATTTATGGTTCGCAAGAGGCTGGAAAAATTTTAAGGTAAAAAGAAAATTTTATTTTCAATTAATCAAAAATTGATGGTTTAACAATTTTCTTTTTCTTTCTCCTTTAAAGATCTTTAATGCAATTGGGAAGCAGTGTAAATTGGAAAGACGCTCTTTATCTCACAACAGAATCGACAAATTATGAAACAAAATTTCTTTTAAATTATTTTCAACCACTAAGTGAATGGCTACAAATGCAAATTGATCGTCACAATATTCCAGTTGGATGGGATTAAACGTTTCTTTCAATTTTTCCAAAAAAAAGTCATTTTGTTTTACTAGAGTAAAAAATATATTCAATTGACGAATTTATGTACAAAAAATTGATACAAAAAGCGAATAATAGTTATATATATATAAAAAAAAAAAAACTAAATATCTGGAAGAGCGAACATTAAAATTAAATATATCGATTATTATTTTTACCTCATTTCTATCGATCAAATAAATTATACAAACACAAAAAAGAAAATTATTACAATATTTTTTAAAACAAAGAAGTAATTTAAAATTTCTCTTTTTCTTGTTTAAAATCGATTTTTATCGTAAATTGTGTTTTTTATTCCTCATCAATCGACATATTTCCCAATCCTGCATTTGTAAACAGATCAAATTCTTCACGTTTAAAAAGTGCTTGTCTCACATCTTCCAAATTTAACGTATCCACGTAGCTGTAAAAAAAAAAATATTTTTGTTTCTAAAAAAAAATCGGATTTTTTTTTTTTTTTTTTAGAAATAGTAGAAAAAAAAATGTAAATACAAAGTAATTAAAAATAAATATACAAACCTATTTTTATTTTCTAATCTATCTAACGCTGTTGCGTGGGACAATCTAACGAGATTATCCACAAAACATTCAACTGCCTGAAAAAAAAATCATTAATTTTAAGTAAAATTTAATTCTAATGAAAGTAAGAAAAAAAAAAATTTCTAAATATTTACCCGCATAATCATACGACTTCCAGAATAATGTCGAACACCTGGAATAATTTCCTCGTCCGTTAATTTAATTCCTATATTTTGGGCAGTTTCGTTAACATAAATAAAAAGTGATTCTGATTCGGATGGCATTTCCAAAATCACAGCATCCGATGATATTTCATCGTTTTCAATTTTTGAATTATCTGCAATGAATTTTTTTTTTTTTAATTAATAATAAATATTTAATTTTTCATAATTAGCAAAAAAAGAAGGTATATTTTTTTCCATACCACTTGGCTTTGTTTCTGAAATAATGTCAATTTCTTCATCCGATTCGTCGCAATTATTTTCCTCATTACTTTTATTTGTCTCAGAAAGCCATTTATGAAGATCAATTGATTTTGTGTAGGTGGAGAAAGTATTTATATCAGAATTCAAATTTGTTTTATCAACTAAAGCTTTTTCGGAATTAAAAATCAATGACATTGGAGTATAAGCGTGTCTTCTAGCCCAAATAATAATTTCCTTAATACTCCATAATTCTTCTGTTGATACTTTTCGTTTTAAAAACATTCTCACTGTTTTTGCTCGTTGCCACTTTAATTGAAAAAAAAAAAAAATTAGAAAGTAAAAGTAAGTCTCGAATTTTTAATCGAAAAAAGTGTTAGTAAAAAAAAAAGAATTTACCTCCAACGCTCTTTGTTTTCCAATATTGTAACTTAAAAATTCTTCTCTACTTTTACAAGTAAATGGATACAATCTTCTATATTCTGGATCCGATACTTTTTCACTTACAAGAGGCAAACGATGAATTATAAATTGAAGAATACTTAAAGTATCTGTCAATCGTACATCATCAATTGATCTATTAAAATAAAATAATATTTAGATATTAGTTTTTTTTTTTCATAAAAAAATTCTCAATTTTGGTTTTGATAAAAAAAAAACAAAGTTCACCTCATTATTCCATCGTAAATTTCCTTATTCATTTTGAATTTTCCCAAAATTACTTTTGGTTTTATTATTGTTTTTGTATTATTTTGTAAATTAACATCTGATTTTGAACCAATTCGCAAATCAAAACTTCGTATTATTTGTGTTTCAATAACATTTGTTATTGGATCAACAATTCTTAATGCTGGTTCACTATAATTACCCGTTAATAAAATACTATTAACAGGATTTATTTTAATTAATTTTGTTTTTTCATTTATTTTACATTTTCCATCATCAGATTTATTATTAAAATTATTTATTTTCTTCTTTATAGTCATGGGATCAATTAAAATTTTTGATTTTTGATCAATATTCACAGGTACAATGTCATTATTTTTGAGTATTAAAATTTGCTTTTTATTATTTATTGATTCAAATGCATTGGGTATGGAAATTTCTAATGGTTCCATTATTTCCGATTTATCTTTTAAAGTATTTGCTAAATTTTCAATATTATTTTTCATTAAAATTGTTGATGAATTACATGTTTGACCATTGAGAAGAATTTTCTCATTAGAATTAAATGATCTATTTTTAATTATTTTATTATTATCATCATCATCTGTCGTGTTATATTTACAATAATCATGATCAATTAGATGAGAGAATTTTAATGAAAATTGATCTTTTGGAGATTCGTGTTTTATTGTTAAATTTGCTTCTTGATTCAATGCATTTTCAATATTTTCCCCACCGTTAATTAATTCTGTATCTGATTTATAATTTTCAGTCTCATTTAATGTGGCCAATGAACGTGGTTCATTAGTTTGAAGCCAAATATCAACTAGTGTTTCTGAACCTGTTTTTTAAAAAAAAAATTTTTTTTATTAAAAAATTTTAAACTTGAATTTGGGATTAAAAAAATTGTTTTTACCTAAAGTTTGAAGACCAGTGAATGTGCGATCAAGTTTCAGGGGATGAATAATGTCAATTGGTTTGTTTAAAGTATTTTTAAAATGTAATTGAACTCTAAGGGGAAATTCGCCCCAACCACGTCTTGATAAATGAAATGGCGACGATCTAAAAATAAAAAATGTTAATTTCTCTCTTTTTTTTTTTGAAATGTGAATTTTTCAAAACTCACGTAATTTCCACAACATCATTGGGTCGATAACTTGGATCAAGTAGAAAACGAACTTTACTAACAAAATTTCCAATATCAGCTTCTTCTTTACTGCCTCTTACATAAACAGTCCATTTGTGACTAGTTTTATCTTCCCTCCATTCAGGTGGAATCCATTTAGAAATATTACCAACGATAATTCGTTTACGAATTTTATTTCTATGACCTCTAGATGGACCTGATGTTTCTGGTATTGATAATTTTGGTGGTACATAGCGGGGTATTTTTTTTGGCGTTTCATTTAAAATTAATTCAGAATTTAATCGTTTTGAATTTATTTTTTCTTGTAAATTATTTTCTAAATTTACAATATCGTCTGTTATTAATTTTGATGTCGATGGAATTAATTCAGGAATAAGAAAACGTGGATCCGTTGATGTCGATGGTATTGATGTAATATCAATAAATTGACTTTTTTTCACTGCTGGTGATTTGCCTAAAAGTTTTTTCACCGCTGGATGAATTCTTGTTTGTTTTGTATCATTAAAATGCAATGCTTGACATTGTTTACGATTATAAAAATCAGTTACAACTGCATAACGTAAAAGATGTAAAATTCTCAATGCTTCATCAAGACGATTTTGTATTTGTAGAACTTCCTTTTCTTTTTCATCAATTTCATTGGAGAATTCTTTTTCAACAATGTCAATTATTTTTTTTGCTGTTGTTGCCCGTGCTAAATATTCAAAAAAAGGAAACAATTATTTAAAATTTAAATTGAAGAATAGATCTCATTTTTCTTTTCTTACTTACCACTTTCCTCAAAAGCTTTTTGTTTTGTTTCATCATTCGGCAATGAACTTTCATATTCTGGATCTTGATCATCATCCAATGTGTCTTTTGAAGTATTCATTTATCCGCTGAATTCCTTTAAAAAAAAATTATTTTTCTATTATATTTATTTTAGTAATTTTATTATGTAAAAAATTTTTCGTCCATCTAGAATGGACCTCTTCAGACAATTATTTATGAAAAATTGTAAATTTTCTATATTTTTACATACAGAATGTAACATTGTTATTATATTTTAATATAAATATAATTTATTTACACTAAAATATTTTACTTCTTTTTGATAAATTTATACACTTTGATGAGGTATATGTTTCCATACTTTTTACATTGTATTAAAAAAAATTAATTATTATTATTAATTGTAGTTTTTATATAGTAAATATAAAAATTCTTTTCTGTATAGAAATTTTAAAACAAACTTCAAAGAGGTTATGTTAAATCTAATTATTTCTATAAATTTTAAATTATTTCTTAGTAAATAAAAGTAATAAAATACAAAAATACAATTAATAATAAATTTTATTGATCATAAATTTTTGTACATTAATTTTTCATTTTACACACATATATATATACAATTTTTTCATTTTGGAGTAATTTTGAGGTTAGAATATGAAATATAGAAATTAAAAGAATTATTTCAATTAAATTATTTTATTAAAAACAATGTTATACAAAATTAAATACAATTAATAATTTGATTTTGAAAAACAATAATTTTTGTATTATAATGAACATGAATTGTGTGAATGTTTGAAAAAATAAACAATTTGACAGATCTGTCAATATCACAAGAGAACATGCGGTTTGGGCGTGATGATTTACTATACAATTTTTTTTTCTTTTTTTTTTTTGCTATTTACCTGGAAGAAACTTTGATGAAAATTTTTTTATACTGTTGTATAAATATAATTTATAATGTAAAAACACTTTTAAACTTAATAAACAATTTGGAGTTAATAGAAAAATTGATTGAAAATTTAACATTCGATCAATATCTCTTCCCGGTGCCATAACGCCATTACACAATGTTGCCAATATTAAGAAATAAAAATCAACAGAGCAACGTTGTAGAGTAATAATGCGCGAAATTTGAAATTTAACTTTAGTAAATTTTTTTATTTTATTTATTTTCATATAATTTTTTATTTATTTTTTAAAATATATTTATATTAAATATTTATTTAAATATTAATTCTTCGTTTATTATTATTAATTATTAATAATTAGTAATTAGTATTAATTAGCAATTAGTAATTAGTAATTAGTAATTAGTAATTAGTAAATAGTAATTAGTAATTAGTAATTAGTAATTAGTAATTAGTAATTAGTAATTAGTAATAATTAGTAATAAGTAATATTTAGTAATTAGTAATAATTAGTAAGTATTTCAGTTAAATTGCGGTATTTGTTTAAAAAGAACTAGCGAATGAACAATTTTGAGGAAAAGAAATGAAAGAAGAAAAAGTTACAAGAAGAGGAAGTTTCTTTTTTTTTGAATTTTGTGACGTGAAATTATTTTCGAGATAAAATTTAGGATTTACTTTAGGGTTGAGTTTAAATTTTCTTGTCTTTTGTTTCTCCTTTTGTCTTTTCTTCTATATGCTGCGGTTTAGTTGTCGTCTCATGTTTTTGTTATTATATACTATCAAAAGTCATTGTTTGAATTTCAAAAGTGATTCATAATATTATTATTTGCTTTGATAATATATAATAATATAATAGTAATTTTTTATAATTTTACAAATTTTGTATCGTGTTTTAAAACAAATACAAAAAAATTTATTGTAAATTTTAAATCTCCTATATATAAAAAGAGAGGGATCAAAAAAATAATTTCACTTATAAGAAAAGTCAATAATTGTCTTTTATTAATTTATTTATTTATTTATAGTCAATATAATGAGATTAAGGGTTGGGGGAGGGGAGAGGGGGGGGCAGTGTGATTTTGATGATTTTATACGAATATAAAGGTAGATCAGGTTTATCTGAGGCTGCGAACGCTTGCGCTACACAAAACAGAAGGTCCTCCGCATGCGTCCGATTACCCCGAAGTCAAAGGAAATAATCATAGTTAAGCACTTGTCGCGTGTCTTTCGAACGCGCTTGTCGCAAAAATTTTCGGTTCTATCGTCGCGTGATACGTTTAACAAATTTTAAAAAAAAAAACCAACAAAAAAAAATACCACGTGGTTTGGACTATCACTGTAAATTAAAATTAATTTTTTCAATTTATTTACTTTTATTTCTAAAATAAAAAATGTGATTTCATTTTTATTGTGTCGTGCGTGCTAAATATCGTGGACCAAGTTCTGTTTTTTGTTTCTTAATTTATTATAATTAATTTTTTAAAAAAAGGTGATAATTTCATGGTGCTATGTCCAGAAGAAAACAGGCCAAGCCACGATCTCTCAAAAGTATGTTTTGTTTTATCAAAAATTTTAAATTAAGAAATTTTTTTCTTTGCATGTATTTTTTTTTTAAATTATTCATTTTGTTTTTAAATTTACAAGAATATTTTTGTATTGTGTATATGATTTATTTTTTTGTTTTTATTCATATAAAATAATTTTTGAAAATATTATCCTTTTAAACTTACAATATACCCTTTTTTGTCTCATTATATATTAAAATAAATATAATTATTTCCTTAATATAAATATTTTATAAATATTCTATCTTTTGAATATTGAATTAGAAAATTATTATTGTTAAAATATTTACCGAATATTTAATAGTAAATGGTATTTATAATTTTTCTTTAGTCATTTATCACAAAAAGTCAATTACGGCTGTAATTTTTAGTCCTTGTTGCAGATTTAAAATAATTAAAAATAATATATAATAAAAGAATAGTATTATAATTAATTTAAACGGAATTAAATTCAAAAATCTGTTAATTAATTTAAAAGAGTTACTAAATTGGTGAACGTTTAAGATAATAAACAAATTTAAATGATTCTTGACATGCATTGCATGCAATTGTCTAATTAGTAAAATATATATATATATATATATATATATATATAACAAATTGTTTTGAATTATAGAAAGTGGTTAAAAAAATTTTTTTTTTATCTTTTATCATTTTTTACTTAAAACTACAATAAATTCAAGAATACAAATTTTCATTAGTTTTAATAATTGAGCGGTTATTATTTTTTTTTAAATCTTTAACAATTTTACCGAAGATATTTATTTTACCAACGTATGTACATAGATAGTTTTTTCTTTACACACTTATCTATATATGCGTTGATAAAATGAATATCTGCATTACCACCTAGTAGAGAATAGAAAAAATAAATTCCCTCCACTATTTTTAATTAACAAACATTAACATAAATAATAATAATAATTTTTTATTAATTACTAATAAAAAATAATTACAGTTAATTAAAATTTAAAAATAAACATCTTGTAGAATTCTTAAAAAGATTAAAATTCAAATTTTTTTTAAGAAAATTTCATATTAATTTTTTGAAAATATTTCGTTTTAGGGATCATTAAATAGAATGCAAGATTAGTTCAATATAAGGTTGACATTTAAAGCGATCAATTTGAATGAGATTAAGGTTCCTGAGTTTATGTTTCTATTGCGCGTAGGCACGTGGAGAGCATTTCATTGCTGGTGGGGTAGTAAAAGAGGTGGGGGGAGGAGGGGGGGGTTAGTGACGGGTTGTGGCGTTGCGGATAGAAGAGAATGGGTTTTGGGGGTTAGAGGCAGTATGGGGGGGGGGAATGGTGAGGTTGAAAGCATAGGCAGACATACAGTAGAATTGGTGTGAGAGAGAGAGAGAGAGAGAGTCGGTAGTCAGCCAGGATGGAATTAGGTGGAAGCCCGAGGGACTAGCTCTTCTCCCAGGGGAATCCCCGGCCTCTGTAATCACCAGTTCTCCTATCCTATCCAATTCTGGTCGCACTACCTCTCTCTCTCACTCTTGTGAGCACTCTATCCTCCCTTTCTCTCTCTCTCTCTCTCACTCTCTTTGCTCCTTCTCTCTGTTTCTGTATTTCTCTTACTCCATTGACTACTGTATTCCTTCTCGTTCTGTCTCATACTGTGACACTGTTCTCTCTCTCTCCCTCTCTCTTGCTCACCTCAATTTGATTCTCCATCTCTATCATGACAGTTCGCCAGCGTCATATTAAACACATATACTTTGTTAATAAAGCTCAGTGTCCGTATTTCAGTAGAAATTGGAAACTATGTTTGCACCATAGTTGCAGAGAGAGAGAGAGAGAGAGAGAGAGAATTCGACACTGGTGTAAACTAGATATAATTATAATTTGTCGTTGCGTAATTACAGTCGGTTAAAATTTGAAATAAGTATTCACAAAAAAAAAACTAAAATTCAATTTTTCTTTCATTATAGTTGCTTTCTGTTGAAAAAAAATTTGATTAGAATTAAGAAAGCACAAGTAGGTACGCGCAATTGTTGTGCGCATCCCCCACCAGATAACGGTAGTCAATAAGCATGCGCGTGGTTTTATTCTCAGAAAAGGAACGCATGCGCAAAGCGCATGGAATAAGACGGAGTATATTAGCGCTTTCTCATTTTAACGCGTTAATTCTTTTTTTCTTTTTCTAATAAAAAAAACAGTTTCAATTGTTTCTCGTATAACTGGAAAATGATTAATTAAAAGTATTTTTTTTTAAATTAAAAACTGATAAATTCTTTTTTTTATGAAAACAATACTATGTAGACTTTTGTTGTTTCCATTTTGCGCAATGTTTATATCAACGTGGGAACATTATGACGCGCACCCAGTTCGAATAGGCCATTGGGACATTGTTTGTACATCCAAATTCGATCGTAATCGAATTTCCATCGTAATTTGTGTAGATAGGCGAAAAATAGAGATCCAGACGGGACTAAACTTTGAATGTTGACCATTGGCTATGGGCTCGTGGTTAGTTGTACTGAAATAGGGAGAGAGAGAGAGAGAGAGAGAATGCATGAGTGTAAAGCCAAACTGTGGATGCATAACGTTTCGTGATATAGGGTTCGCTAATTAATGCACGATAATGAACCGCTGCGGAGCCGTACCTATATTAATAGATTCAAATCACAATCTCCCTACATATATATACAGTTCTCTCTCGATTCATGTGTTCCAATCCCATCTATTGGACCAATAGATAGTTTAGTTCAAACTCAACATATCACATTCGTAATTCTCCCTCTCTCCCATTTGGCCATCTAGTTGACGATGTTAATGGAAACTTTAATTTATTTACCTGAACAGCGAAACATTATCTAAATCCTCGCATGCATGTATACAATTTGCATTATTGTCTCCAATATGATGAATTTCTCTATTAATATACTAATTTAAATAAACTACTTATAAGATATAGAAAAAAAATATTTAACGATGTCTATAAATATATTATATAAAAAAAAAATATTTTCATATTAATATTAAATTGAAAAAAAAATTTTATCAACAAAAAAATACATATATAAATATATACAAAATTGATTGATGGTTTCAAATTAAAATGATTGAATGTAATTATGTAATTAATTAAATTCTGATGTAGTACACAAATATGTAGATATCCATATTAATCAGACAAGGGCGCGATGACCTAAATCAAGCACATTATGCCGGTTCGCAAAGCTGTGATTGTAATTTGTGCGTATAGCATAAATGCATAATTATTAGCTTGGAATTAATTTACGTCCACGTAATAATTAACCAATGTTATCGAGATTCGTAGTCTAAAAAAATTTACATTTTTACAAATTTTTTGTTTACATTTTTTTTTTTTAAAGAAATTCTCAAATAGATAAAAATATTGTTTATTCTTCAAAACTTCTTTTTAGGTAATCTATCACTAATACTTTTGAAAACTATAGAACAAAATTAGAAAAGAAAAGAACGTGGCTTTGTTAAAATTAGGACGAAGGAGGCGTGGTTTAAGAAATATAGAAAAGAATAAGGGTGGTTCAAGAAAAATAAGAAAAAATAGGCGTGGTTTAGGACAAAATAGTAAGAAGTAGGCGTAGTTAAGGATAAGCTAGTAAAAAGTAGGCGTGGTTAAGGACAAAATGATAAACAGTAGGCGTAGTTTAGAATAAGCTAATAAAAAGTAGGCGTAGTTTAGGACAAAATAGCAAACAGTGGGCGCAGTTTATGACAAACTAATAAAAAATAGGCGTAGTTTAGGACAAATTAAGAAAAAGTAGGCGTGGTTTAGGACAAACTAATAAAAAGTAGGCGTGGTTGAGGACAAAATATTTAACAGTAGGCGTAGTTTAGGACAAAAAAGTAAAATGTAGGCGTGGTTTAGGACAAAATGTTAAACAGTAGGCGTAGTTTAGAATAAGCTAATAAAAAGTAGGCGTAGTTTAGGACGAAATAGTAAAATTTAGGCGTGGTTTAGGACAAAATAGCAAACAGTGGGCGTAGTTTATGACAAATTAAGAAAAAGTAGGTGTTGTTTTGGTCAAAGTAGGAAGAAGTAGGCGTGGTTTAGGACACAATAGTAAACAGTAGGCGTATTTTAGGACAAACTAATAGAAAGTAGGCGTGGTTTTGGACAAACTAATAAAAAGTAGGCGTGGTTTGGGGGAAATTAATAAAAAATAGGTGTGGTTTAGGACAAACTAATAAAAAGTAGGCGTGGTTGAGGACAAAATATTTAACAGTAGGCGTAGTTTAGGACAAAGTAGTAAAATGTAGGCATGGTTTAGGACAAAATGTTAAACAGTAGGCGTAGTTTAGAATAAGCTAATAAAAAACAGGCGTGGTTTAGGACAAAATAGTAAGAAGTAGGCGTGGTTTAGGACAAAATAGCAAACAGTGGGCGTAGTTTATGACAAACTAATAAAAAGTAGGCGTGGTTTTGGACAAACTAATAAAAAGTAGGCGTGCTTTGGGGCAAATTAATAAAAAATAGGGGTGGTTTCGGTTAAATTAGAACCTAGGAGGCATTTTTTAGGACAAAATAGTAAACAGTAAGCGTAGTTTAGGACAAGTAAAGAAACATTAGGCGTGGTTTAAGACAAATTAGCAAAATAATGAGTGTGGTTTTGGTCAAATTAGGACACAGGAAGTGTGGTTTAAGATAATTTAGGAAACAATAGGCGTAGTTTGAGATTTGTTAGATAAATGAATGGACAGTAAGTAAAGAATTAAAAAGAAATAAACGTTTTTCATTTGGGATTTAAAAAATGGCGAAAATAAGGGTATGGCTTATAGAAAACAAAAAATTACTGTTAGCTTTATTGTTTGAAAATAGAAAGTGATAATAAAATAGGGAGTTTTTGCATTTAAAATGAGAATTTTAGCTTCTTTTTTTTTTAATAATGAAGAGGAGAATATAATGGGGAGGAAAATTTCAACTTATCGTAGTCTCTTAATACTGTAATCGTAGGTCCTCTAAAATTTAAGCTGTTATTAGTTTTTGCAGTGACAGCACTAAGCCCAACTGGTGGTTATAATCACTTTAATACTGCTGTGTGCCACGTTGGATTATATTCTTAGCTTTAAAAAAAAAAAAAAAATTTTTTTTGTTTTGTTTTATTTTTTATGATTTTCCAACGATTCGGGTAATTACAACGCGTGTCATTTTCTCTCTGTTTCTGTCTCTCAGTTGTATTATTAAAACAACAGCTTGTTTTCGCCTTGGATTCTTATAACTTTTATATTTTTCGTTATATATATATATATATTTTTAATTATATATAAGTATTATATTTCTGAGATTTTATTTTTTGTAAGCTTTGCAGAAATATTTTTTTTTTTTTTTTGTCACACATAACGAATATAGAGGAAAAGTAAACTTATGTTTCTACAGCTGCTGCAAATATTTGCTCCTATTGAGATAACATTGGGATATTGTGAAAGAGAGGGAGAGAGAGAGAGAGAGAGATTCGCAACATTTTCTATATCACGTACACATAATAGAAAGATTATTTTTTTTTCTTCAAATGAAACAATATAAATAGGAAATAGAAAATAAAATGAATGAAACCAAATTTGACTTTTTCTGTTTGCTTAATTTTTTAGAATTTATTTAAAAAAAAAAAACTCTAAATCAAAATTGTCCGTTTATAGAATGTTTTGTATGCATTACCGCGAACGAGGAAGAAAATTCAATCTGCCGTAAATACGGTAAACAATTTGAAGGTAAGCTAAGTTCACCGAGAATGGTGGCATGCTGGGTATAAGGTAATAACTATAAAGGTAAGGGGATTGGCTATATCATATCGAGCTAGTCTTGAGGTCTTATATGTATACATGTTTGTTACACGTGGTTTCCTTGGATGGTTGTTACGTATATGTAAGAAAGGAGTAATGGCAAATATTGTCATGGGTGGGAGAGAGAAAGAGATAGAGAGAGAGGAGGTAATAACGAGAAGGGTTGAAAAAGAGGGGAAGGGGGTTAAAACTTACGATGGTTGAGAACTATAAGATACCTCTTCCAATGTACCTATATTCTAGATGAACATTCATGGAAAGGCTAAGTGTTAACATATATATATAAGAAGTGACATAAGCTTAAGAAAATAGGTATTGCAATCTCAGCAAACCAACTTTTAAGTTTCCTTATTCCACTAAATGGATGTATGCATCAAAAACGTTAACTGCATATTGAAATTCAATATATATATATATATTTTTTTCTTTTCAAAAGATCAGATTATTTTCCTTCCATTATAAAAAAATTTGAAAATAAACGAAAATGTGTTTTCATATTTTTTTTTTTTTTGGAAAAAACCAATAAATTTTTCTCTCTTTTAAAATATATAATAACAAATATTTCAAAAGTTGAGAGGAAAATTTTCCACTGGGGGTAAACTGCACCCCTTTAGCTTGCTAAAGAATTAAAAGATAGATTCAACATTCTCCTTTGGGGGATAAGGAAACTTTCTTTAGAAGAACTTGGTTGTCAGGTGAATATAAATTTTTCAGTAGTGACTCTTGTAGTGCTTGAAATTTGAAAAGTGCACCTTGTATTTTTTTTTGGTATTAATTCACAAGGTTTAAGCTTAATATCGCTTCTTTCTAATCTCTCATTGTATTTTTCCGAACCAATTTTTTTTTCTATTTTACTATTAAATATTTCTATTAGATATTTTTCAATTTAAATTACTTTCTATTATATGAAAAAAAAAAATAAGGAAAAGAATGGGAATAATAAAAGTTTTTGACTTTTGAAGAAAAAGAAGAAGAAGAAGAAGAAGAATGGTGGGAATAAATCTCGGGAGAATTGTGAGAGAAACGTTCTTAGCTTTAGTCGAAAGGAATAGAAACACGCATCTGAGATTCGTTTCGAGTTTTGTGTCATTAATCGATATGCGGAATAAAGCAACCCCTCCAGGTTATCTCGGGTACATAGAGACTCGCTATCTGGTGTACACCGTCGTATGTCTTGGACCAGTGACAGGGAGACAGGCAAGCAGCCATTGGAAGCAGTATAGGTGGAGGAGAAGCCCGTGTTGGTCCATTGGGATTGAACCCAGGGTAGCTCTGACGCGGACTCAGACTCCCCTGGGATCATCCTTCCCTTCGGCTTTCCACCTCAAACTGGAGTCTCCCAGAACCTGAAGATAACAGAGAGAACGCGAGAAGCTTCTATATATATATATATATATATATATATATATATATATCTTCAACCTCGGATTTTCCATTTTCTTTTTCCTCTTCATATAGCACTCAAAAAACATAGTTTTTAGTCTTATTAAGATAAGATGATTCTTATAAATAAAGTAAGCACAAAAAAGAAGAAAATAAATATTCAGCTTCGAAAATCTGACTGAATAATTGAATCCCATACAGTGCATGGCTTATTGTTTCCTAAACCACGCCCCCTTTGTTCTGATTTGACCGAAAACCACGCCTATAGATTCTTAATTTGTCCTAAGTTACTCCTATTTTTTTCTATTTGTTCCAAATTACGCCTACTGTTTACTTATTTGTTCTCTAGTACGTCTCTATTATCCTAATTTTACCAAAACCACGCATATTGTTTTTTAATTTGTCCTAAACCACGCCTACTATTTCTTAATTTGCCATAAACTACGCCTCCTTTGTCCTAATTTAACCAAAACCACACCTACTTTTCATTATTTTTTCCTAAGCCACTCATCATTCGTCCTAGTTTGACCAAAACCACACTTATTGGTTACTATTTTGTCCTAAACCACGCCTCATTCGTCCTAGTTTGACTAAAACCACGCCTATTTTTTACTATTTTGTCCTAAACCACGCCTCTTTTGTCCTAATTTAACCAAAACCACACCTACTTTTTCATTATTTTTTTCTAAGCCACTCATCATTCGTCCTAGTTTGACCAAAACCACGCCTATTGTTTACTATTTTGTGCTAAACCACGCCTCATTTGTACTAGTTTGACCAAAACCACGCCTATTGTCTACTATTTTGTCCTAAACCAGGCCTACTGTTTTTTAATTTGACTAAAACCTCGCCTATTATTTTTTAATTTGTCCTAAACTACGCCCATTGTTTCCTAATTTTGTCGCAAATCACGCTTATTCTTTCCAATTTGTCCTAAACCACACTTCCTTCGTCCTAACTTGGCCAAATCAACGTTCTTTAGTTTTCTAATTTATTCAAAAAATTATTAAAAAATGATCAAAGAATGATGAATTACAAAAATATTTATGTCTATTGAAGAATTTTCTAAAAAAAGTAAAAAAAAAATTTTATAAATGTAATTTTTTTTAGACAGTGCAATATTGAGGAAGGTCGGATATTTGCTATTCTGAAACTCGTGTTTGGGGTTTCGTAACGGAAGTTGGATGATCGATGAGATTGAAATAGGTTCTTCATTTGAGATGAGAGAAATGTGGGGGTGGGGGGCAATGCAAAGCTTATGAATGGTTGACAAAGAGGAGTCTGGCAGACCGCAGTTTGTTGGGGTGGGGGAGAGAAGGTAGTGGTGTTTCAAAGTTCAATGGATATATAGTATAGAGTAGAAGTGGCACTTTGATTCCTGTCTTCTAGAATATTTAAAGGCTCTGTTTAAGCCTTCCATTACCCTTTGCGTTTGTAATGCGCATCCATTCCTCATTGTCTGACATCTAAATGTGCGCTCAACCAAATACCTTTAGATTATAACGAAGTCATGCTGATTGTTCAGTTCAGGACAATCTTGATTATTATTAGCGTGGTTTCTGTCTTTCACCTGCGAGCAACATGCTTCGTTTCTAATTCCTCCTTGTTGTCAAGCTAATTATCAAGGATCGTTTCCCCCCCTCTTTCTCTCTCTTTCCCTCTCGATCTCTTGTTGCTTTATTTAAAATTTATTCCACATTCACTGTAATCTGTTTCTGACAGTGAAAAATATATTTTTTACAATTGTTTGTTTAGGATAAATAGTAAATAATAGGCGTGGTTTTGGCCAATTTAAGAAATAATAGGCGTGGTTTAGGTCAAATTAGGAAAAATTAGTCGTAGTATAGGACCAATAAGAAAACAATGGGCGTAGTTTAGGACAAATTAAGAAACAGTAGGCGTGGTTTAGGACAAATTAAGAAACAATAGGCGTGGTTTGGGACAATTTAAGAAGCGGTAGGAGTGGTTTAGGATAAATTCAGGAATAATAGGCGTGGTTTTGGACAATTTAAGAAATAATAGGCGTGGTTTAGGTCAAATTAGGAAACATTAGTCGTAGTATAGGATCAGTAAGAAAATAATGGGCGTAGTTTAGGACAAATTAAGAAACAGTAGGCGTGGTTTAGGTCAAATTAAAAACAATAGGCGTGGTTTGGGATAATTTAAGTAGCAGTTGGCGTAGTTTAGGACAAATTAAGAAACAGTAGGCGTGGTTTTTATCAAATTAGGACCTAAAAAGGCGTGGTTTAGAATAAATAGGAAACAATGGGCGTAATTGAGGACAAATTTGGAAACAATAGGCGTGGTTTAGAACAAACTAGGAAATAAATAAAAACCTGTTTTATTTGTTAAATAAATTTCTATATAGCCAAATTTCTCCTTTCTCTCTCTTTCTCTTTTCCCAACGTAGTTAATTGCTAAAGTGGCAAGTTTCACGTATACATGATTTTATACTATAAACGCAAATAACAAACGGTCACTGTCAGTAGCAGTTTTTTTTTTGTTTTGTTTTGTTTAATTTTGCGGTCTCCCGTAATAAAACGGTCACATCTGCCATTCACTGTTTTGCATAGTTTGATAAACATTTCTCTTTCCAAAAATTCTCTAACTCATTGCCATCTGTCACATAACCTACACATATATATAATTTATTTTTTTTTTAAATATTGAATTTTGTATATTTTTTCCACTAAATTTTATCGAATAAAAATTTCAAATAAAAATTTATAAAATAGTAAATTTTTAGATATAATTTTCGTTAAAGAAAAAAAAAATTGTTCGTTTTTTTTCCAGGAGATGAAGAGTGGGCAGAAGGTCCTGAACCAAGTGTCCTTGAAAATTCAGAACAAGATGAAGAAACGATAGTGAAAGGTAATTTTTATTAGAAAAATAAGGGATTTTTTTAAATTGCAATTTCGATTAAATAGTAGGAAAATAGAAAATTTTAATTACAATCTCTTAACTTTTAGAAATGTTTTGTTGGATGACAATAGTTGTCAATATTGAAACGATAAATATAGTGGATTCTCCTAAGATTATTGTTAAACTTTGCCTTTTGAATATATACATATATATATATATATATATATATATATATATATATATATATATATATATATATATACAGATACAATATACGTGTAGAACATAATATATAAAGGACTCGCAAAAGGACATATAGAGTTTGTCGATACCAACATGTCTAACACATTGAAGGTGTTTCTATACTGGCGTCAAGTTCCGGCTAAATAACTACACTTTGCGGTTATATTTGTAACTATATTTATACATATAACTGTTTTTGTATGGGATACATTAAATGATGACGTCCCTTTTAACTTATTCCTTCATATATATACCCCCTTGTTTTCATTCGGACGTGTAAACTGTTGTTGTATGAGAGAATATTACATTATATATTCCGTATTACATTCATATTATACGTAATATTATTCCTCGAGTATATATAGTGTTTATAGGTGAGAGAAGAGAGAATGTCAAACTACACAACTATATATATATATATATGTATACAAAAGCAAATAGGCACACGTTCATTTGCACCCGAATGTAAATCTCCCTTGATAATCCACAGTGTGTTTGCAAATGCTAATAAGTAAATGATAAATGTCACCCTAACAATTTATAACAATTTTCTCTTAAAAATAAACTAGTGTCTTTTGTCATTTAACAACTTTTGGTTAAAGTGGTTTAAGACATCAAAAAGTTTTTACAACATTCATTTAAATTTGTAATTGTTTCAAGTAAATTAATTTATTTTTAGTTACTAATAACTATTTTGGTTTTGATAAATAAATTATGCTTTTTTTTTACAGATGAAGATGACGATGAGGAGGAAGAAGAGGAAGAATTGCAAAGAGCCTTCAGTCGTCATTCGAAAGGTAAAAAATATGAGAGAAGCTATGGTAACGTTTGTCATGGAAACGGTATCAGTAGTGAAAGTCTATTTGCAATCAGACAGAATTTTTTTCATTTATTTTAACATTAGTATCAGTAGTAATAGCCAATTAATAGTCAGACTGAATTAAAAAAATTTAACAATTTTGTGACAGTAGTAAAAGTCAATTTTAGTCAGACTAATAAATATTTTTAATTACCGTTTCAGTGGTAAAAGTCATTTTTAGTCAGACTGAGAAATTTTTTTAATTTCCTTTCAGTAGTAAAAATTTGTTTCACTTAGACAGCGCAATTCTTTTAATTTCTAATCAGTAGTTAATCTCATTTTTAGTCAGACCAAAATTTTCTCAGTTCTTGTAACATTAATACAAGTAGTAACAGTCAATTTATTATCGTACAACAAAAATCAGTATATCAGTATATAGTTAATATTATTTTTAGTCCGACTAGAGAGTGATTTAAACAATAAGCATATATAGTAACAACTATTTCCAGTAGTAAAAATTTTTTTGGTCAGACCAGATATTGAAAAATGCAAAAAAAAAAAATTAAAATCGTTTTAACGAAAGATAATAATTACAAATACAAATGTTTGTCAAAAATTGAGTTGTATCCCTTGTGAATTTGTTTGTTTTTTTTTCTGTCATCTATTCTCTGGAGACAATAAGACTTCGTGCGTTGTACCCTGAAACAATGCATTGAGGCGTGTCATTGTTTAAACTTGTTCAAGAAATGCAATCCCAACATAGATCGTATATGAATATGCGATGCCCCTCTTTGCCCCAAGGGATTTTGAAAACGATACGGCCATATAGTTAACGTATACACTATTGGACTCTAATAAAAATAATAATAATAATAATAATAATAAGAATTATAATTGTTCTCGTAACAAGATGTAATTTTAAATATATTTTTTTCAATTTTATTTATATTTGAAAAATTAAGGAAAAGCAAATAAAAAATGTCTAGATTTTTGAAAAATTATAAATTTTTTTGAATTTTAATTACTAGGGAGGAATTTCTTTTTTAATCTAATCAGAATATGTTTATTTATCATTTGTTGATATTTAATACGTCATATATAGTTCTACATTATCAAAGGACTTAGCGCACATGTTGTTATATTATGTTGGAAAGTTTAAACCGTTAAAAGGAAAGTTTTGCTGTGCATCGAATAATTGATTCTCGTGTTATTTTGACCTCTCTTGAAAATATTTTTCTTTAGCTCGTAAATAGAGGAAATTTTTCTTTATAATTAAATTCACATTTTAATATATATATATATAATTTGTAAAATAATAATAAATAAATAAGAATAAAATAATTATTCAAAAAAATGGGAAAAAAATAAATTAAAAATATAGTTCTTTTTGAGAAATAAAAAGAAAAAAAAATATAATTTCGATCGAGAAACATTTTCCGCTTTGACGTGGTCAATTATTATTGCAAGTTTCCTCCGAGTGTACTTACTCGCTTTATACTCGAAAGGTAAAACCAGCTTGGAAGAGCTCGGACGAGACTAAATCCCAAAGGAGACTTTTTATTCCCTCGGGAGCTTGTTCTATCTGCTTACCTGAAAATATCGGACTTCTTCTATTATTACGTCGGTATTATATATATATATATATATACTTGTATTTAGGTATTGTGTATACACACATAAAAAACGAAAAATATATTTTTTCTCCCATCGAATGAAATTATATTACATGTGGCAAAAAATAAATTTTTTTAAATAAATAAAAATGAAAAAATAATATTCTTTTTTTTTGAATATTGTATTATTTGTTAAAAAAAATAGTCATATGTGTTTCTAACATCATACAACTGATTGGTTATAATAAAAACGAGGCTTCATTTTCAGTGAACGTGTTGAATTGAACGTATTCACATTTTTAACTGCTCCCGATGTACACAGAAAATACGCAAGAGAGACATTGTCTCGACACGTGAATGTTACTCAATTATATAATCTGTAACAGGAGAATATGTGACATTTTTTTCTTCTCACACCATATATATATATATAATCTATATTTGGTTTTTTTAAATTACATTTTTCACCATCAGCTTGAATAAAAAAATATTTTCAAACAATCACACATTTTTATACGTTCACAAAAAAAGGAAACTTAAATTTTAAAAAAATATGATTATGAAAAACTGAAAAAAAAAATTTATTTGATTCAAATAATCGTTTACTTGATTATTATCAAATAAATATTTTTTTGTATTAAATAAATATTTATTTGTATCAAATAAATATTTAATTGTATATCAAATAATTATTATTTGAGTCAAATAAATGGTATTGATTTCAAATAAAAAAAATTATTGGTTCAAATAAAGTTTATTTAATTCAATTATTTAAATTCAGAAATCATTTGATTATTTATTTGACAATAATTAAGTAACCGGATTATTTGAATTAAATATAATTTGAAACAAATTTTTTGAAAAACTATTTTTGTAAAAATTATTAGAGGAGTATAGAAAATGATTGGTAACATTTTCAGAGAATTCGATTAAATGGGTTTTCGCACTGGTGGTTAATTTAGTCGAATCGATAAGCCCGCGTGTTTTCTAAATGGGTCAATATTGTATTAATCAATTACTTGATAACCACACACGCAATTACATTTATTGTCGCGGACTATTTTGAATTAGACAATTTTCAATTACAAAAAGAAAATAATAAATATTTAATAAAATATTTGAAAATTTTTTCACAAACAAAAAGAGAAAAATTATAATTTAATGAAAAAAAGTTTCCAAAAAAAACCATTTTTTCTTAGGCAGACGATTTTATTTCAAATTCTTGCACAAAATACACCTAAAAGTGTAGAAAAAAATTGACAGCCCGATCCGAGTAGAGGAACACCATTTTTATGACCATTAAAGCGATTTTCGCCAAAAAAAAATTTTCAAAAACCTTCAATTTTTCTTAGGCACACTATTTTATTGCAATTTCTTGCACAAAATACACCTAAAAGTGTAGAAAAAAATTGACAGAAGGATCCGAGTAGAGGAACACCATTTTTATGACCATTAAAGCGATTTTCGCCAAAAAAAAATTTTCAAAAACATTCAATTTTTCTTAGGCACACTATTTTATTGCAAATTCTTGCACAAAATACACCTAAAAGTGTAGAAAAAAATTGACAGCCCTATCCGAGTAGAGGAACACCATTTTTATGACCATTAAAGCGATTTTCGTCAAAAAAAAATTTTCAAAAAAATTCAATTTTTCTTAGGCACACTATTTTATTGCAAATTCTTGCACAAAATACACCTAAAAGTGTAGAAAAAAAATGACAGCCCGATCCGAGTAGAGGAACACCATTTTTATGACCATTAAAGCGATTTTCGTCAAAAAAAAATTTTCAAAAACATTCAATTTTTCTTAGGCACACTATTTTATTGCAATTTCTTGCACAAAATACACCTAAAAGTGTAGAAAAAAATTGACAGCCCGATCCGAGTAGAGGAACACCATTTTTATGACCATTAATGCGATTTTCGTCAAAAAAAAATTTTCAAAAACATTCAATTTTTCTTAGGCACACTATTTTATTGCAATTTCTTGCACAAAATACACCTAAAAGTGTAGAAAAAAATTGACAGCCCGATCCGAGTAGAGGAACACCATTTTTATGACCATTAAAGCGATTTTCGTCAAAAAAAAATTTTCAAAAACATTCAATTTTTCTTAGGCACACTATTTTATTGCAATTTCTTGCACAAAATACACCTAAAAGTGTAGAAAAAAATTGACAGAAGGATCCGAGTAGAGGAACACCATTTTTATGACCATTAAAGTGATTTTCGTCAAAAAAAAATTTTCAAAAACATTCAATTTTTCTTAGGCACACTATTTTATTGCAATTTCTTGCACAAAATACACCTAAAAGTGTAGAAAAAAATTGACAGCCCGATCCGAGTAGTGGAACACCATTTTTATGACCATTAACGCGATTTTCGTCAAAAAAAAATTTTCAAAAACATTCAATTTTTCTTAGGCACACTATTTTATTGCAATTTCTTGCACAAAATACACCTAAAAGTGTAGAAAAAAATTGACAGCCCTATCCGAGTAGAGGAACACCATTTTTATGACCATTAAAGCGATTTTCGTCAAAAAAAAATTTTCAAAAAAATTCAATTTTTCTTAGGCACACTATTTTATTGCAATTTCTTGCACAAAATACACCTAAAAGTGTAGAAAAAAATTGACAGAAGGATCCGAGTAGAGGAACACCATTTTTATGACCATTAAAGCGATTTTCGTCAAAAAAAAATTTTCAAAAACCTTCAATTTTTCTTAGGCACACTATTTTATTGCAATTTCTTGCACAAAATACACCTAAAAGTGTAGAAAAAAATTGACAGAAGGATCCGAGTAGAGGAACACCATTTTTATGACCATTAAAGCGATTTTCGTCAAAAAAAAATTTTCAAAAACATTCAATTTTTCTTAGGCACACTATTTTATTGCAATTTCTTGCACAAAATACACCTAAAAGTGTAGAAAAAAATTGACAGCCCGATCCGAGTAGAGGAAGACCTTTTTTATGACCAAAAACGCGATTTTCGTCAAAAAAAAATTTTCAAAAACATTCAATTTTTCTTAGGCACACTATTTTATTGCAATTTCTTGCAGAAAATACACGTAAAAGTGTAGAAAAAAATTGATAGCCCGATCCGAGTAGAGGAACACCATTTTTATGACCATTAAAGCGTATTTCGCCAAAAAAAAATTTTCAAAAAAATTCAATTTTTCTTAGGCACACTATTTTATTGCAATTTCTTGCACAAAATACACCTAAAAGTGTAGAAAAAAATTGACAGCCCGATCCGAGTAGAGGAAGACCTATTTTATGACCAAAAACGCGATTTTCGTCAAAAAAAAATTTTCAAAAACATTCAATTTTTCTTAGGCACACTATTTTATTGCAATTTCTTGCACAAAATACACCTAAAA